TTTAGGTACAGCACTCTTTAAGTTGAGATGGTTTTCAACACTTGGTATATACTACAGAAGGACACTGTCACTTCCCAGCACAAACTAGACCTCGGGAGGGGACATAAGTTCTCCAAGGCTTCAGTTAAGCCTAGATATGGCAAGAGGATTTGCGACTCCGAGCTTACCTAAGACTGAAATGCCGAGAGATGCCGAGCTAAAACGAAAACCGTGTTCGCGATTTGTGCAAAACGGCTCCAGAGCCGTTTTGCAGAAACGAGGCTAAAACGGATTTCGTGTTCCAGGCTAAAACGGTCCTTAAAACGAGCACCGTGACTTCCCCTATTACTGTGGCATTCGTCCACGACATGCTCTCGCGGAAATGGTCCACAAATAGTCGAACTCAATAAGCGTTTCTCGCTCATTTTCTCAGTGCGCTGAAGCCTTTCGGGGTCCCTGCCGAACGGCCATCGGACTTGGGATCTCAGCGCGAACGAGAAAACGAGAAACAGCTCCTCGAGCTGTTTCTCTCGTTTCTCTGGGGCGGACTTTCAATTGCCATGCGCTGTACTGATGTACCAGGCTCTCGGTTGCTTATGTCTTGCCTAATACGATATGTTTTGGCTTGTTGTGACGCGCTGTTGGACGCGCACTAAGTTGTGTTCTGGCACCCTTGCAACTACTGAGCTAGGGCAGGGCCAGTATAGTGACCCTGCTGATACTGCCACATACCGTCCCAGTCCGCCAGAGAATACAGCACGTGGGATGAGCACGAGCTATCTGACAGCTGTGGTGTCTAGCAGTGTCTAGCATGCGACGAGAAATCCGCCAGAAAATGCACGCTCAATAACTTCGGGTTTCTCCGTGTCGCCGCGTCGGCAGAAGGGGTGCCAGTGCGCCCGAGAAAATGAAAACGAGAAACGATATTGAGTTGGGCTAATCTCCTCTAATTCCGTGAAAGCAGCCATGTCCAATCCGCCCGGGAGTCGAAACTCACGTTACCGAAGCGATTTTACATCAACGTGTATAGAAGGTCCTAAGTATATGAAGCAGATTCAATCCGCTATGCTACAAAATTTAGTACGTGGATACATGTATATTGCGGGGAACAGGGTATCTCGAGACAGAGCCACTCGCGTCCAAGGTCGCTCGTATTAGTTTCGCGAGTAGCTTGGGCTTAGAAGAAGCCACCGTCATCATAACCACCATCCAATCCGCCTCCTCCAAACCCGCCATCTAGCATGTCTCCGAGCAGCAATCCACCAGCCATCCCGCCCAATAGCGGCAGCGCCATACCTCCACCTCCGAAGCCGCCCATTCCTCCCATGCCTCCCATTCCGCCTCCGAGCGGTCTGCCGTATCCACCGTACCCATACCCGCCAGTCATGCTGTAGGGGTTGCCTGCCGGGGGACCATACATCGGTCGTGAACTGTACGCGGACTGGCCGGAATATCCCTGCGCGTAACGCTGACGCATCGCCTCCATCCGTTGCTTCATCAGCTCTTGCCGCTGCCTCTCCTGCTGTTCCTCCAGCTAATTGCCGAAATTGGTCAAAAACTAGTTCTCTTGGGATGGCCTTGATGACTTACCAGTCTGATCTGCCTCTTGCGCTCCTCACGCTCTTCCTTCGTCCCGATGGCCTTGTCTTTCATCTTGCCAAAGAATCCTCGCTCCTTTGCCTTGCCTTTCTCGCTCACACCAGCGGGCGGTGAGCTCGCGTCACGTCTAGCGGAAGGTCGGGAAGGGCCAGCGGACGACGACTCGCCGTGATACGAATGCCGTCTCAATGCTTCGTCGTACGAGGGCGGCTTCAAGCCGTCCGACTTGGAATCTTGTCGACCCCTCAACTGCGCTTCGCGTTTCTCGCGGACTTCGGGATGCTCGGACAAGTACTGCTCGTCGTCGAATGGATGGGTCCAGATGGCTCTCGGAGGATTGGCCTTTGTATCGACCTGCGATGCCCGTTGGTTAGCTGTGGCGGCATTAACGGATCGGACAGTCATACTCACCCAGAACGGGTGCTGCGAATTCGGGTCCCACTCTTGGACCCAACCCTCCGGCAAAGGGGGCATGTTCTCGTTGCTTGGTGTGTTCATAGTGATATGGTAGAAGGAAACTACTGGAGGCGTTCTCTGGAGAGACCTTTATATGACCGCGCAGTGCGGGGCTATGTAGCGTCATTCCCCGTGACTTCCGATCCTGGGTGGCGGTGCCAAGCCGAAATCGTAAGGTACGGGCCCGGGGTATCGTTCAAGTTGCAATTGGCTGGCCGGGCTATGCGCGCAAGCACGTTCTCTACTGCGGGAGTGTGGGTTATCTACGTTCCAATCTGCGGATTACTGGGGGCGCTTCTCTGGATAATACTGGATGATCAGTTCTTCAGATACGCGCAGAGCCGGAGGCCCACCCATCCACTGACGCAGCGAGAGAACGTCATCCGTTCGAATACACAGACATTGCATTTACGCGAATAGATACACAGAGATAATAAAGATATGCATATAATGTACATCACGCATGTTAAACGGACCAACTAGAGACCATCCATTGCATTAGACCGACAGCAGAAGGATGCGAGATTACGAGGTATACTATGCAAGGGTAACAATGCGAGTGAATGCGACGGTGTGCAGAGACAGAAGATAAATAAGACGGCGTGTTTCGAATCGTGGTGGTAGGAATTCAACGTGACCTGAGGTCGCGGATGATTGCTTCGATAGTCTGCAGCTTCTCTTCAACGGGGAGCTGAAGCGAAAGGAAAGCGTCAATATCAGTCACCACTGGCGCTCATCGTAAGGCGTACCTCCAAGAAACGATGCATGTTCTTCCGTCTTTGCGGATCAACCCCTTGCTTACTTGCAATAAGCTCGATTAAACTCGACGGATCCTGGTGGAATCCATCCATACTGCGAGACGACCGACGGAACTTCTTCTGACCCTGCCCAATCCAACCTTTGCTCGCTTCATCCTCGTCCCTCATAACGTTAACTTTACTCCACGGGGACACTCGTTCGCATTCCTCCAAGGTCTTCCTCCACTCTTCTTCAGAATCCCCAGATTCCTCCCACTCTTGCCCGGCGTAGCCAGCGGGCCGCCCCCAGTCATCACGTGCGGCGGACTCTCCTTGCGGCTCGTCAGAGGAATCATACCACTGAGCCCAGTTGTCCGCCCTGGCCGGCTGAAGGAAGGGGTTGTCGGTCTCTTCCTCGTCCTCGCCCCGTCTGCCCTCCTCCTGGGTGTCCAAAGACTCCAGGAAGTCCATCATTCGTAACGTTTGCCCCCTCTCCGCTGCTTCGATGCCCTTCAGCCAGAAGGGCACGATGTCGTATACGGCGTCGACGTGGGCCTGGTGCTCGAGCACCTTTAGATCCCACACACTTTGATCAAGCGGTTTCTCCCAGCGAGAGAAATCTTGGGGCTCAAGCCAAGGATTGTGTTCTTTGCCCGAGGGCGGTTGTGGTTTCGCCGCGGGTGTGCGACAGTTGCGCTTCGGATTGACCTTGTTTCCGCGGGTAGGAGGCATAGTGTTCGAGACTCGTCAGATGCGTAGTAGCTGTAGTAGCGAGAGGGATGGAACGACGGCTAGAACTTGACAGCAGGGGACAGTGGGAGATCGGACGGTCCCTCTTATACGGAGGATGTGGTAAGATACGAAGCCAGCTGGGAAGACTGAAGAAAGCAGCCTCGGTCGGAGCCACAACCCTCGCTTACTCGCTTGTGGCTGAAGCCACTTTGATCTCAGATCTGCGGGTGTCCCATGAACCAATCACGGCCATCGCATCCTTCTTCCCCCGCACAGACACCCATTTCCGGCATAGGGGTCCTCTTTGCGGGTACCATTGTCAGTAGTTGTCAATCCGACATCTGTCCGAGAAACGTTGCAACGAACCTCGACGAACTGTTTCGAGTCTCAGACGTCAGCAGAGTCCATTCAATACAACTCTATATATGTAAACCAGACGTGCGATTGTCCTATCTACTAAGACGTCCAGATACAGGTGTGAAAGTTCGCAAGTAGATCCGTCCACAGAAGAACTAAGAAGGTCCAGGCAAGGGGTCTGTCCATGTTCCGTTCGGCCAGAGCGCAGCGGGCATGGTGAAATCACCAGCTTCCCCGTTGTTCGTGAACTATCATATGATACGTATCAGGGCCTGGCACACTCGATAGTATAGATACGTACCGCTAGTCGGAAGAAATGCGGTAGTCCAGCTTGTAGCGAGGACAGTGAGTAGTTCAATGCCGTGCCTACGTAACGCTCGACGTCGTCCACCAATAAAGCGAAGCCGTCCCATGACTCGCCATCGGGGATTGGACTCCAGAAGATTACCTGGCTCTGAAGGGGAATGGACGCGTTGAAGGTTGTAGAGTTCGTCAGGAAGGTCGGAAGATCAGTGCCTAACGGGGCGTCCCGCCGAAGCTAATTAAAGACGCACGGTCAGTTGACAGAGACCTGCAGAGAAGCGGTAACTTACATCTGCCACCGTCTGCAGTATCGAATCAAACCCAAACGCCGCGGCGCCGTTTAAGAACATACCAAGCAAGAATCCCTGGTATATGGCAGACAACCTCGTAGGGAACGCCGTCCCAGGAATAAGCACCATTGCAAGAATATAATGATGGATACGAAGCTCCAACCCAGGCAAGAGTGCTAAGACTAGAGTGACCAACCCGCCTATGATATACCAGCGGGCATAGTGAGGCAACCACCCGGTCTTTCGTATGACTCGTATTTGGTTGATTACTATTACGACGAGGATAATGATGATTATAATCAGAGCCGTGACGGCGCCAGGCCGCTGAGCAATGTCTGAAGCTACGAGTCGATCGATAGGTATCTTATCCGTGGTAATATTCGTGAGCACGCCTGCCCAAAAGGTTGCGAGGTACCAGATGGACGCCTCGATTGGCGCCTTGGAGAAGGCAGGCAACACGAATCGGAAAGCAAGTCGCCAGAACCCATATGCAATGAATAGAGCGGGTAGAAAAGTGCCGAACGCGGTGTCTAGAGGAGGAGGAGTGCCTTGAGGCTGAGAGAAGAGTGCAACATGCCAGTAGCCGATACAGACTAGGCACCAGTAAAGAACGATAGGCCTGGGTCGAAGTATCCAGAAGAGGAGCCATGTAACCAGGATATCGAAGGCGAGAGCGGGGTTGCGGAGGTCCGTACAGTGGCTAAGACTGTTGCTTGGGCTGAACCGGAAGGATAGTGGGAATACGGTAGGAAACCCTATTGAGGTTAGACCGTGAGCGGTTGTACCCAAGAAGTCGGTGAAGTTTCCGGCCAGCTGCAAAGTGGCACAACCACCGGTAGTGTCACTGAACATGCCGCTACATTCCAAACCACCATCTCAGAACGCAATGATTCAAAGCTAGGACAGTTGCACTCACGCTTGCACGGCTGCTGCGCATATGAAGCTGTCGCCTCTATACGTCTTATTGGAGTCCCCACCTCCGACTATGAGCGGGACGAAGTCAACCTGTTCATCCCCAACTGTCCTCGGGTTCTGCAGTACGACAGACATGCATTGCGACGGACAGCGGAAGTCGAAAGTCTGATCCTCGAACGGTCCGCATGCTTCTCCGTTTAGGCCACATCCATCATTTGCAAGCCAGTAGGTCGATGTGCAATCCACCCATGCATCGGACGGTGTCTGAAACGAGTTTGCACGCGACAGGAACGCGAGGCCGATAATATAGGCCGCTGCGAGGAGGACGAAAAGCCAAGGGTTCGTTAAGGGACGGGTGACACGGATCAGTGTTGACTCAAGGGCCAGACTGAATGATTTGTGGCCTCTGCGGAAGGTATAGTCTAGCAAGGGGGAAGGGTCTACGAACGTGCGAGTCTAAGTATGCACATCAAGAAGCAAAGCCACTGTACACATACCTCGCAAATCCACTTTAGGTCTAGGTCCCCTCAGGTACTTAAGAACCCTATCCACCCTCTGATAAGCTCCTGGGTGTTTTATGCCAAATGCCGCATAAATCCTCTTGTACCAGGATCTTGACCGTTGGGGCGAATGCGCAGCATGGGAGTCCTCAGAGTCTTGCACTTCAAAGCTCTGTTCCGGAGTGAATCGGGGTTTCGTGCTGGTTATGTAGGATGAGTCTTCGTGCGTCAACCGCGACGAGCCTGAACTCGAGCCAACGTCCATTCGGCCAGCAGAATGGGAACAGGCATGTATGGCGTTCGCAACATTCCTCTCACAACGCGGAGGTGTTGACCGGATTCGATCCGGTGGCAAATACCGGCAGCAGTCTCCGCCCACGGACATTGCCGGGTAAGTAGGCTCCGGTGCGGGGTCGGCTAGATTAGATTACTGTACAGTCTGTGGGGACCTCAAGCCTCCGGAGACCACCAGTATATGTTTGGGATGCAACGTCAAGATCATGGAATACATTAGAGTACGGGTAACAAAATAATATACAATGCGTGAGATCTGTTGCTCTACTGAGGAGTCTTGCCGAGTCAATTGTTCTCCCCTGGTGCGATTGGTTGAATAACACCCGCGTTGTCCAACTCACTTGAACACTCACCATAGTAATCATAAACCAACCTGGCCTTGATTTCTTCGCCCTTGGGTCCAGTGAACTTCAGGTGTCTTACATGTCTCCGCTCCTCGTTGACCACTTCGAAACCCCATATCTTTGTGCAGTGATCAGCACCCCACGAGTTGCCTGCAATATACACAGCTCACCTGGTGCGCCGTCCACGTCGTCTTGCTCTTCTCCGTGTCACTGACAACGTACGAGCAAATAACACCATGCTCGATTGTGTCCTCAGTCCATCCATTCCGCAAGTACTCGTCCTCGACTTCCTCAACTTTCATCCTCTTCGACTTGCCGATTACGGCCCCGAAAGTGCTGTCGTCCTTATGCCTCTCTTGCCAGTCCAGAGTCCGCTCTTCATCCGAGCCACTGATACCGCCACTGAGGACTTGCTTGATGTCGATATGCTCTTGGCCATCTGACTCGCTCTTGTAGTGCTTCACGTACAGCGTCAGCGACGAGCTGGCGATGATCTTTCGCTTGAACCAGCTGACGCCCTGCAGCTCGAGGATCTTGTCCGTACTGTCACTCAATGTCTTGTTCTAATACGGCGTGGATGAGCACCCAAGCACTAAGTTAGACTGTCATATGACACGCTCACCATGACGAACACGGCGGTGAGGTTCTGAGTGGTCATCGATTCTGGTGCAGCCATGGTGGTTAAGCGTATCCAGGGACTTGAGGGCCAGTTAAGTAGGGTGGTGTGGTAGAGGGAAGGTTAGGACGAGTGATAGCATTTCCATTGGAGACATTATTATAGCAAACGCAAGCTGCAAGAAGCAGTGGCGTGCGGATGATATGTATCTTTCACATGATTCACTCTACAGAACTTTAGGTCCCTGCGTACGCGTTCCCAGCGGGAGAGGCGGCCGTACGTTCCACCGAGATGTACAGACAGACTACACTTGCACGAACAGCTACTTATCCACCTCCTAAATACGTGATGTGCCCGCATCAAGACAACTGCGTCACGGTCGCTGGCAGGCAGCTAAGGTGATTGTAAATGCCTTGGTAAGTGCATCCATGAATCTCCTGGCATGTAGACCGATGTAAGGACAAGCTGAGATAGCCAAACCTCAGATGAAGAGCTGCTTACAACATGAAATCACGAGCACAAAGTAGGTGGTGCAACGACTTCACGAAAACAGGGACGGCCCAGCGAGGAGAGATATCACATGGCGGTCAGCCATCTCTGCAGCATGCTGGTCATGACTTCGGCGGGAACAGCGTGATAACTTTCCAGGCAGCGTCCTTCCCAGTTTCCCAAGCCTTCGGTCCCCTGGCTTCATCGCCCCCGAATTCAACCATGATACCGTCCTTGGACCATTCACACCAGATGCCAATGGATCCCGCTGAAGGTCCTCCACCACCGCCCTTCCGATCTGGCTCGCCTAAGCACTCGACGAACTGTTTCCCTGTAGTGTCCAGTTTTATCTCCAAGTGGGATGACCGCGACTTGCCATCCGAGGTGGTAGGAGCGATCTTCAGAATCAAAGGCAGGCGAGGATAGGTCGAGTAAGATGGGGTGGTGGTCTTGTTACGAGACTTGCTCTCCCCCGCGTTAGCGCCAGATGGTTTGGGGACGTTATAAAGGTCTATGCTGTCCAAGACCAGACGTTCCTGCTGCAGATCTTGTAGACTCAAGCCCATCTTGGGCTTATATCCATCCACTGGGGAGAAGCAAAGGCTAAGACCCAGAGAATAGTAATTGAAGTACACCGCGTCAGGGTAGGACTTGATCTCCGGTACCAACTCTGGTTTATTCTGACGGGCAAAAAGCGCGTTGAGGAAATCTGTGAGTTTGGGAGACAAAGGATGTAAGCCTAGCAAGTCTCTAACATTCAACGTGGGCGTAGAGTCCGTCTGCGCGTCTGCTTCCGACATGATGACGGTACGAAGCAAGGCGTCGGCTACTATCACGTGTCGTACTAGCACGCGTTTCGGACTATGACCTCGAGTGTCTGAGGCTCAGACACTCTGAGCGTACGCGCCTGCAGCCGCCGTGCAAGTCGACGTTTGCCATAACGTCGCCTACTATGGAGAGGCATTCTCATCGACGACGGTCCCAAGGCAAGGTCCAGGTCAAGCTGGAGGATCAAGTCGGCAGCCCGGACCAGAGCCTTACAAGCAGGGTGCTGCAGGTCCCAGTCAACCTCTTCTTCGACTTGCTCTCCACAGCATTCCGCTTGCTGCGTCCTCTAGTGCCATATATTGTGCCTTTGGCTATTGCTGGATTTATCATCCCCGTACTAGTTCTGTTCTCTGCATCCGCTGGATGGTATGTGTGGAAGAATGTGGCGGTAGGCTGGGAGACGGAACTCTACCTTCAGTACGGGTAAGTTGTATACCATTGCAGTTACATGTGGGATACAATGACACCGCAGGGATGGGCCTGTTCCCTACGCTGAAACCGCTTTACCCCCACTGGTCCCGTTGCAGCCATATGATATCTCCCTTCGCCTCGTTGTCCCAGCCACGGAATCAAATTACGCTCTCGGAAACTTCATGAGCTCTCTAAGACTTACCAGCCCTGCGAATGAAACTCTAACCTCCGTTCGAAGACCAGTCAGTCTCTCTCATTTATGCTTCCTCGGCGCAGTCTCACCTCTGTTGCAGGCTTTAGTCCTTCCTCCTTCCAAGAAGCTACCGATCCCTTTCTTTTCATCGAAACCTGACACGACTGGTGTAGAGTTGCACCTGCTGTCTTCTTTTGTTCCTGGCGCGCGTAATACATTCGCAAGAGTAGAGCTTGGGAGGAACGATGCATGGAAGAGTATTGGCAGCGGGCAAGGTCGCGAATTAACAGTTGTTTCGGCCTCTTTGACAGGTGTCCTCGTCCATAAGGGCGTGAGGTGCGTCCAGTGTTTCTAAGCTATTTAGCCGTAGCTGAAACATCATTTCAGGGGCCTTGTAACGCGATACCCAATTATCTCAGCGAGCATAGCGTCCAGCATCTTCCTTGTAGCGTCTTTCGCAGCGTTCGCAGCATGCATGCTGCCTGTTCTCGCATCCCGTGTTCCCGAGGAGCCGCCTGCAGAAGGGGAGAAGAACGCCATTGCCCCACCAGCTGCGTTAGGTCCTGAGCCGGGCGCAGACGAGAAGCCGACCCGGCGTCGCAGGACGTCTCGACGAAGCAGGAGCCATGCCAGTCGTACTCACGCAAGTACTTTTACCTCTTTGCCCGAGCGCCATCTCTAACCCCGATCCAGGAAGCTACTCCGGCTGCTGAAGCGCCAGAAAGTGCGATCCCTTCAGCGAACGACGGGCAGACACCCCTTCGACGTCGGCGATCACGTCTATCGGACTCAAACGTGCAGTCGGAGTCCGATTGATAGACTTAGTCCCTGTCGTGTAAACTATTCACGCTTGCTAATCTAATACCGTTGGGTTTGGGATTGCGTGGACGATTCAATGGACGGACGTCTTTAATCTGATCCAGTCGACGGCTCTCATCGGACAGGAAGGACAAGGCTCGATGAGTGCACTGAAGGTTATGAATCTGATACCCACGTGAAATCAAATACGTAGGAATAGATCTCGATCGGTAGTACCTGTTATGATCGGGCACTTATACCCCGGACTCGGAACATCTACTCCCGGTACCTGCGACGCTCGTTGGGTCTCCTTGCGTTCGCTCTCCTTGCCTCTTCCCCCACCTCTTACGAAAGTATGAGCCAGTTCGATACCTCCAGTCTCTTCAATGTTGCTGGGAAAGTGGTCCTAGTGACCGGTGGGAGTCGCGGGATTGGGAAAATGGTCAGTCGGAAAGGGTATTTAGACCTTGCGTTTCTAATGTAAAGCACGTTACAGATTGCCGCTGGTTTTGTTAAGAATGGCGCAAAGGCGAGTCTTGGTTATACAGATACTTGTGGCTCCAAGCCATTATTGACGACCATATATTATTAGGTGTACATCTCGTCGCGATCCGCGAAAGACTGCGAAGCCACTGCCAAAGAACTCAATGCGCTGGGCTCGGGGCAATGCATCTCTATCCCAGCGGATTTGCAGAAGGTTGATGAGGTGGAGAGGTTGGTTAAGGAGCTTTCGTCAAAGGAGAAGGCGCTGCATGTGCTCGTGAATAACGCTGGTGCTGCTTGGGGTGCTACCATTGACGACTATCCTGTGGGTATTCTCTGTATTCGGGAACATTCACCTTTCTAATGGGTGGTGCGCAGGACGCGGCATGGACGAAGGTCCTCACCCTTAATCTTCAGCGGGTGTTTACGCTAACCCAGAAGAGTCTACCTCTTCTGCGTGCCGCTGCCGACGCGGGAGGCAGAAGGGGCGCGGCGTACAACGATCCGGCTCGCATAATCAACGTGAGCCCCCTTATGCAGAGTAGCTGTTCACAGCTTAAGACTCTCGATACAGATTGGTTCCGTGGAGGGCTTGGGTGTACCAAACCACGAGACGTACGCCTACTCCGCCTCCAAGGCCGCGCTGCACCATTTGAGCCGTAACTTCGGTGGCCGCCTGGGCTGGGAAGGCATTCATAGCAATACCATTGCTTGTGGACCCTTCGAGAGCAAGAGTAAGTGGCCGCGTACACGGTCACTTGTCGCGTCCATGCTGATCATTATATAGTGATGGCACATACGCTCAAGACAGCCGGTGACGTTATTGTGTCTGAAATCCCTGCGCACCGCATTGGTACACCTGAGGATGTTGCCGGTACAGCACTATTCTTGGCCAGTCGTGCGGGCGCATATGTGAACGGCGCTACTATCGCCCTGGACGGCGGTCACTTAGCGAGAATGCCCATCGCAGCCCACGCAAAATTGTAGCGGCATAGATGACGTTCTGGGCCATTACGAGCCCTCCGTATCTGTGTCATCCTTATATTAGCCTGCGGTGTACATGAGGAAAGTATCTGTAATATCTCTTGCCCGAAATGTGAATGGAACTGGTGAGGTCCAACTCCCGCAAATACTACGCAGTCACCCCAAGTGCTTTCTGTATTTTCCGTCCTATTCTGCTTGTCCTCGTCGGTCGTTTCCTCTGCGCTCTCTTCCTTGGTTCGTTCCCTCTGGCCGGACATCGGTACTGTGACTCGAGAGTTCGTTACGCTCGGATGACATTCCAGGTTCGTCCATTTCGATGTTCTATCGCACGAGACAGCCCATCCCTGTTTATGGTCGTTCGGTATGGGTGCTCAACTGTATCTGTATCTGAAGTACGGGCCATGCTACATCAGTTGGTCAGACAAAACCATCCCCGTTGATACCCGTTTACCCCGACAACGTCTCAAGGAACGGGTCATGTTCTCCTTCGAATTTGTGGCATCCATCCAGTGGTGTATCCAGCGTGGGCGCTGACTTGAGCGGTGCGCCACAGAATATATGTAGCATCCCTGTATAACTCGTTAGATGGTACCCACGACGATCTTCCGGCATGTCATTTCGTTCCTTGGAGGTCTTGCGCCGGGCCTGCATTGCAGACTGCTTTCGCTGCTTTTCCGATCCCAGGTGTTGCTGAGCCGCCAGGTATAGACCAATCAATACCTAAGTATGGGAGCTTGTCGCGAAGCGCAGTGATCTTAAGAACCTCTGTACAAACGTATGATTGTATGGTTACAATGGCACCGCCGTCGCCCATATTGCATTCGTGGCCCTGTCTTGGAACGCTGCAGCTCAACTGTCCAGTCCCCCGATCTGACATCACTGTCTACATAAAACCGCCGAAAGATCACAAAGAGATAAGTCCGTTATATCCAGCTGATATGCACGGCTCCACGCCCCCTAATAGACGTACGGAATGAGCCTGTACGGCACCCTCTCCGCCCAATCCTCCCACTCCTGCCCGAATTTCCTCCTCATCCCCTCATCCTCCTTCGCCGGCCTCGACAAACACACATAATCCAGCCCCAACCCCCCAACGAGTGCCACGCCCGTAACCGCCCTCCCGAGCGCTGTGTCCAGCACCCCGCACTCGACCAACCACGACCCCCGCCCGAACCAGCACGCGCACATCCCCGCGAACGCGAGCACGAAAGCCGCGTAGCTGGGGTGGCGCACCCACGCGTACGGGCCGGCGGTCACGAGCGTGTGGTCCGGGCGGAAGGCGAGCTGGTAGGTGAAGTGCCGCCCGAGCGTCAGGTAGCACTGGTAGCGGACGAAGCTGCCCGCGCCGGCGAGGAGCGCGCCGACGACGAAGGGGGTTGTGAGGCGGATACGCGGAACGGAGGAGGGGTAAGGGACGAGGAGCGCGAGGAGGCGGGAGGTGTAGGGCGGGTAGGGGAAGTGAGAACAGAGGATGACGGCGCTCTCGCAGAGCGCGCCGGTCCACAGGCCGTACTGCGATGTAAGACAGATTGGTTAGACGTGTGTGGGGGGAAGGAAGGAGGGGAGGGACGCACCTTGAGGATGTTCGGCCACCAGGTGATGATCTTGTTCGCGTAGCTCGTCGAGCCGGTGAACGTCTTCAGCTCGTCGTCGGAGACGGGCGGGTTGGGGTTCGTGAGGCAGCGGTGGAGGCCCGCAGTCGCGAGCAGCAGGAGCGGGACGCGCGCGAGGGACGGGGACGTGGACATGGCGGTGAGCTGGCTCTGAGGGAGTGGTAGAGCGGAGAGACGGGAAGGTGCAGTCGGGCCTGCCACGGGACTGTTTATGGGCAGCTATTCCCGTTCGCGCTCAGCGCAATCAGGCCGGGGAGCAAGGCAGAATACGGCATATCATGATGAACACCGTACTTCTCGTCACGATGCCAGTTCTACGTGGGATAGGCAAAGATAGATCAGCACGGACGCCCACAACATAGCGTAATGGATCTGCAGAGCCTTCGCTATACATACTTAGATTGCCCGAGCCCGAGATAGGCACAGCAGAGTCGATAGCGAGCTTCACGCTACCATTGGAGACAAAACACCCCGCACGATAGCCACGTCAAGTGATGACCTCTGAACGGGATAGACGGAGAGACGTTGGATGAAGACGTGCGCGATATCTGATATCCGGCATCGTGTAGATCACGTTCCGCTCGTGGTGGCCATGAGCCCAAGCCCGACGCACTAGAAGACGCTTTGGGGTGGAACATCTGACGCGTTCGCCGATACGTCTTGGTGCGAACGATTGAACGAGGTGAATGATCGGCGTAGGGCGTTTACCATCCTGTAGCATCCCGGCCCCAGTCAAGCGAGTGCCATGCCGGAGGTAAGACGCCTCCCGCCGCGATTTCCTATCAGCATATGCATCGATGTATCAGTGCTTCATTCGGTACAGGCTCTAACCGCCAGAATGCTGTATGCGCGAGTAGGTCCGCACGAAGACGAAGGAGTAAAGTCTGCCCCGAGCTTACGGAATCCAGTATCAGAGGATCAGCCGAGGCTGAGCGCAATGCAGCAGACGCATGTGAGATGGTCCCGTTGTGTTTTCGACGCTGGACACAGACAGAGGGCAACAACGAGGGTGGTCGACGACACAAGTCCGAGTCCGAGTCCGAGCCGTCAGAACCGCTGTTCCCAGGGTGTTTGCTCTTGACTTGGTCGGCCACTGGAAAGCCAAGACCGCCAACGACGTCCAGCTTGGAAGGATTTCAGCCAAATTTCAGCCATCTACTTTCCGGACGCTGGTCACGCGCTCTCAGAGTCGCTGGCTGGCACCGCACTTCGTGGGTAGAACGCGAACGGGCTGAATCGCTGAGTGGCATCCATTCCGTCCACATCCGGATATACGACATATCATCCAACTATACACGCAGAGAACTAGCATGCCGTCCAGCATATATCGTCACCAATTTTCCCTTGCCCGAAACGTGGATGAAATTGGGGAGGCCCAACTCCCGCAAATACTACGCAGTCGCCTCAGGTGCTTTCTGTATTTTTTCCGTCTTATTCTGCTTGTCCTCGTCGGTCTGTTCCTCTGCGCTTTGTTCCTTGTCTTCCTTCTTTGCTTCAGCTTTCCGTTCTTGGCTTTCTTTCTTCTCTTCCTTATCTTGCTTCTTTGCTTCAGGTTCCTTTGGCTTACTGTCGCTAGCGCCGCTCAATCCCTTCACCAGCCCTTCTGCCTCCTCCCCTTCCAACCCTAACTCTTCCATCAAGTCTCTCAGGTCATCCTCCGTTACCTTTACTCCCTGCAGGCCAAACCCGACTAGTTCCTCTCCAACGTCAATCTGCCTTTTCTTGTTGACCGGTTTCTTGTCCTTACTCTTGAGGGGAGACGGCCCCGGTGAGGGAGTTGGTGAATGCCCCAAAGGTAGTGACTGCGCAGGCGAAAGAGCTCCGGGTACTCCGATTGGCTGAGTTGGGGGTGCCGGACGCTCGCCGTCGACATCCGGGTCGTAGGATTCATTCAAGCGGAGGAAAATGTCCAGTTCGTCGTGCTCTACGGCATCCTCGCTGGCGGACGGAGGTTGTCAAGAATTTGAGCTGTGGGGAGAATTTGTTATACGCACAATTCATCAAATCCCTACGTTTGTAGACAAGAGTTAGGTCTCAGAGAATGGAACGCGTATGACACATACACCAGGGAACTGCCCGCCGACCAGGATGCCTGGCAACTGCTGTTTATCTGAGCGGTCAAACACGTGAATAGTCAGCGCTTGGTAGTAATAGTAAAAGCACATACGTACTTGCGGGTGCTTTCCGCCTCCATAATTTCTTCGCCTCTTCGTCCGATGCCAGATCATATGAAGTGTAAGGTATCTTCTTGACTTGGAGCGTGCGCAGCAGCAACTCTGGGGACAGTAGATTCAGCTAAACATTAACGCATAGAGTTTACTCGAGCACTAGTCTCACCCTGCCTGTGTCTCAGAGCCGGCTGAGAGGCTATAGTGGTAAGGAAGAGCTGAATCGGAGGCGAGGGCATCGTCGTTAGTAGACCAGTATGATTACCAAAAGCGGTAGCGGACACAATCCACAGATCGCCAAGCCACATCTCGGCGGTCGCCGAAGGGCGCTTCTCTCAGATCGCGCTCTCTCGAGCTGCCTGCTTGGAACTTGGGCATAACACCTCGGGGCAATCACTGTCTCAAGACTGCTTGTCTGTTGCACTGGAATGTCTCCCAAGTCTGTGCTCGTCGTCTGCTTGGGCAATATCTGCCGCTCGCCCATGGGAGAAGCAGTCCTGAAGCATATCGCATCTGAGCGAGGTATCGATCTCGAAGTGAACAGCGCAGGCACTGCTGGGTATCACGTCGGCGAGGAACCAGACGAAAGGTTTGTTTCAGTATGAAGCTGGCAAAGCTCACGTATAGTCGCCTCATCACCGAATCTGTGTAGGACGGTTGCTGTATGTCGAAAGGTACGGGTGTTCCAGCTCGAGAGATCCTAATGAAGTACCCATCCCCCATTCGCACAGCATGGCGTCCCGATCTCGCATGAAGCACAACAAGTTCACGCCGAAGATTTCCGCAAATATGACTACATCTTAGCCGCCGATGAATCCAACCTCCGGAACCTCGAGCGGATAAAGCCAAGAGACTCTAAGGCTGTTGTTCGCTTATGGGGCTCTTACTTGGACAACAAACCTATCAACGACCCATACTACGGCGGCATTGTAATTTCCCACCCGCTCCTTATTTTTGTCCTTCACTGACTTCTGGGTATAGAGCGGCTTTGAGACATGTTACCAGCAGTGCGTTCGATTATCGCATGCCTTCCTGGACGAGATCGAGGGAAAGAAGTCGTCTTCCAACCTTTAGCGTGCAACGGGTTCAACCGACTGCCGTCATCCTCTGCATGGCGGACCATTAGCATCTCAATTTGGGGTTACGTCATTTGCTGGTGGATAGATTCTGGACTGACGATAAGCTTATAACTACAATGGCACGACATGATTGTCGAGACGTGTCGGAAAGACACGTTTGACTTTTGTTATGCAATATTTTCACTGTCGATTGCTTTCCGTAGATACATGTGATAGTGTACAACCCACTAGGCCGCGTCGTTAGTGGTGAGTAGGCATATCCACAGATGCGCGGTTCCCTGTAGCGTCCTCCGCCCGCCACAAGCTTGTGGTCGTCTGCAATAGCATGTGTCATTATTGATCCACCTCCGACAGTTGTCACTGATAACTCACCTTATTCTGTGTGTAGAAGTTGATACCGCTGTGGAAGTTGATCTCACTTCAGTACGAGATCTCACGTTGATTAACACCACCTACCTCTTGCCATAGAACGCAATGTCGCCCAGGAAGCTTGCCTTCAGCAAGCCGTCAGATACGCACGTTACGTGTTACAAAAGTGATACTGACCTTATTCCCGCTCCAGGAGAACATCGGCAGGGGCACGGGGATGGGAACATTGACACCAATCTGACCGACCGAGACCTCGCTCTCAAATTTGCGAGCGGTAGCACCAGACTGAGTGAAGATAGCAGCTCCGTTACCGTACTTGTTAGCATTGATGATGTCGAGCGCATCATCCAAGGTATCCGCCGTAATGACAGACAAGACGGGACCAAAGATTTCCTCCCTGCGGACGGATAAAATAAATATCAGAACGCATACGTAGATGGCTCCAACTCACTTATAGCACCTCATAGTCGTGACAGCCTCGATGATGGTGGGGCCGACCCAGTTACCGTCAGGATAGCCGGGCACCTGGACCCCGCGACCATCAAGATGAATTCTTCCGCCCTCTTCTTCCGCAGAGGCGATGAGTCCTTCGATGCGTTTCTTCGCGGCCGGAGAGATAACAGGACCGCTGCACGCAACACAGAGAATGTCACACACGTGTCGGAGCAAAGAAGGGGATGTATGCCTTACAAATCGACACCCTTCTCGAAGCCACCATTGACGTTGAGCTTCTTAGCCCGCTCAATCAACTCAGGCAACCATGACTGTGCGGTCCCCACCAGCACAGCTGAGGATAACTTCAGAATATACTACGCTGACTTCTCATTGAAGCATGCTCACCGACAGATATAGCCATACATCTCTGGCCGGCAGCTGTACCTCGGATGAGCATAAAATAACGATCGTCAACCATCCCAAGCCTACCTCCAAACGCTGCACCAATGATGGAGTTGAGGGCCAGATTTTTGTTAGCTGCAGCGAAGACTATAAGTATGCCACAGATAAACCAGGAATGAGTTACCATCTGGCATGATTACAGCGTGGTTCTTGGCGCCCAAGTTAGCCTATTTGACGGGGATGACCCACCGTGAATCTCACGCCCTACTTCGTAAGCTCCTAAATACTCACCTGGACGCGTTTGCCGTTCTTTGTGCCCCTGTGGAATAAATAGCGGTCATACGCGGGTCAAGGAGGGCGAAGGCCAAATTGCATGCCTCTCGTATATGTGATGTCCAGCACGGTCACCACCCACGAAACTAATGGCCTTAATGGCCGGATGATCACAAATGGCGTTGACGGTCGGAACAGTGCCGTGGATGACGTTCAGTACACCCGGTGGCAAACCTAAGGAATAGGTATCTTGTTCAATGCGCCGCGAATCCATCCTGTCGAGATATACAAACCTGCGCGTTCACACAATTCAGCAATGATCATAGCAGCACCAGGGTCACGCTCTGATGGTTTCAGCACCAGTGTGTTGCCGGTGGTTAGTGCCATTGGTATTGTCCACAGTGGAATCATCCTATAATGAAAGAAAGCATATGATTAGAGTAAGCCCTGTTGTTGGAGGCCAAGAGTCATACGAACGCGGGAAAGTTGAACGGGGCAACACTGGCACATGTGTTAGTTACCCTCCTGATATTATCCGGATGGCGCTAACGTACCTTGCGCAAACTCCAAGGGGTAGTCTGCGAGTTTCCGTGTCCATATCTTTGCTCACTGCGAGCAGTTTGTTATCTAATCCTCCGACAGAGTGCGATTACATACCTTCAATCTTATCACCGAGCAGTAAAGATGGGATGCCACATGCTGTTTCCACGACCTGCAGTCCACGCAGGACATCACCGTGGGCATCTGCACTGCACTTTGAGACATGGTCTATCCAGATCACGGGCTACCTGTGACTGACCTTGGAATGTCTTCCCTTGCTCCAGTACTATGCTCGTAGCCAAAGCGTCACCATGCTGACGTATTTGGTGCTGCAATCTGATGCGGAATTAGTGAGCTCAGCCAAAGCTGCGACAAGTGCTGTCTGGGACTTACTCCAAAGCGAATCGCTGCCGGGTCAGCACACTGGTTTTCCTCCACGTCTTAAATGCCTCGTCCGCAGCCTTGACTGCTTGGTCGAATTCCGAGCTAGTGGTCTCGGGTACTCGAGTGAGTACAGTTTGAGTAGACTAACGGAACCATCAGTATCCCAGACGCTTCTTTGGGAAGATCATTACGCACGGGGTCCACCACATCTATCCAGTCCGACGCTTTGCTTTGGACAAACTCGCCCCCTATGTAGTTTTTGGTGTCCCCTCCAGTCGCGCTCGTACCCTTCCACTGAGCTGAAAGCTGCTCGGCCTTAGCCCGGACAGCAGCATTGAGCCCGCTCAAGGGCGGTTTGGGACTTCCCGACACCGCAGTACCATACTGCCGCGTCTGCTTGATCCCCAACCGTGAAACTCGAGAGACAGACATGGTCGCAGCGACGGGAAAGCGCACGGAACCCCGGGCGTGTCTGCAGCCACCCCCGCATAAATAGGAGAAGCATCGCTCCGGTGACTTGCCCTATTTGGTAACAAGACGAAGGTCTCCGGGCCCGATCCGCCGACGAGAGCGATCACATTCTCAGGTCACAGGCACGCGTCTGTTATTTTGTCGCCTTGAGCAGGACGCGTCCAACAGTGGCGAACGGTGCCAGCGACTGTCGGCCATGCATCCCAACCACGAAGGCGCGATGGGGATGAACTACCACCAGCAGGGACCGATGGACGCGGGTCTCAACTTCAATCCTCTGGCGGCTCTGCAGTCTACGAACATGTTTGCGCCGCAACAAAACGGATTTCCGCCCTTAATGAATCCCTTTCCTCCGGCGCATGGCCAGAATAGCGGCCCTTCGAATGGGCACTGGCCTCCTGCCCGTACAGAGTCTCCCATGTCTATGCAACAATTCCCCCCTCACATGCAACAGGCCCACTCCCGAAGTCAACAACATCAACCACATATGCACCCGAATGGGGCGCCAGGCTTGAATGGCGCACACGGAGTTGGACCGAATCCTTGGCTATCTCAGTCCCAGGCACCCCCCGGCATGAATATAGCATCTCTGCTTCCCGTTAATAATATCTTGACCGACGCAATGAGGATGATGGTTCCGGTGGGATCTTCCCCGGATGACGAGAAGATACTCATAAGAGCATTGCTGGACAGTTCGAGCAGGAACCAAACTTACCGGCAGGCTCTCGATAGTCTCCACGGGGTGCGTATGGCTTCACCCAGTACATGTCCTCTTCTCATGATGTTCCCATCCAGGTCAACAATCACGCCTCGAACCTTTGGAAAGACTACTATCTCGAGCACAAACATAGAATTGACGACATGATATTGCGTCGGCACTCGAATTCATCCCTACCGCCTGGTCCACCCAGGCAGAATTCACAATCCTCTGTCGGCGTTCCTCGCTTCCCGCCACCGCAGGTTCCTGCGGTAAATAATGCCACTGTATCTCCTTCCGACCGTCGCCCCATTCTCCCATCTCCATCAAGTGCGCCTCCGAAGCCGCCTCAGCTCAGAGCATCCTCGTCACAAAGTGACGTTAAACCGGTAATAAAATCTGTTAAGAAGCCCACGTTCAGTCCTGCCCCTCCTTCTCGCAGAATGTCTTCACAGCAGCGCGAGCGTGAGGGCTCCACTGTCTCCAGAGCCTCTTCTTCTCAGCGCAGGCGTAGCAGGACCAAGAAACCCGCTTCTACTTCGTCCTCGTCCAGTGCATCGGTGGAGAATAAGTCGTATTCGTACACTTCAACTCGTTATGTCTCGAGTTCTGCGAACCTGCCGAATCTGTTCCCTAATTACCAGGACATCAAGGTTCCGGAACCGCCTTCTCGTTCTCCCTCGCCTCCGACAAACGTTATCCCAGCGCCTGGCGGCAAGGGCAATCGGTACACTCCTGAGGACAAGGCCTGGTTCCCATTGAAGATTGCTTGGGAGGTGAAACGTAACCCGCGAATTACGAAGAATGAGCTCCTGCAGAAGATAGAAGAAAGGGTGGGTGGGGTCAGTATTGTCCATGTCATGGTACTCATGGTTTCGCAGGCACCTCATCATAGCATCCAATCGTGGAGAGCTCACTGGCATAACGATCCGATAGGTGACAAGATACTCGCAACAGCTGCTGCGCAGCTCTCCAGTAGTGAGGGCGAATCCGGCGACGAGGATGCGGACGGTGAGGATGACGACGAGGTTGCCGGATCCGGGTCAGAATTCGGAGCAAATAATTCCGGCAGTGACGACGAGGACGGAGATAACTTGGATGTGCCCACCGACGAAGACGTGAAGGAAATGGGTGCTCCCGGCGAATCCTACACGGACGCCGACAAGCGCGTCCTGGCTCGCTATATAGCGTCTTACGGCGATACATGGAATAGCATGACGCGGCAAGAGAAGTTCGGACCCTTCGTAGAGCGTGTAAGTGACTTAGTGTTTTCGACTGCTCCCACTGACTCATTTCCCCATTAATTAGCATCCTGGGCGTAGCATTGCCTCCTGGGCGGAGTATTTCCGGCGGTCTGAGCGAGGTCCGTTTCATCTTCTTCTACTGGTTCTTTTCTCTGACTAGTTCTGCCCGGTAGACGTGATGCGCTGCGTGCGCAAGTATCGCGAACGCAGTAAGAAGTCCCAATCTGAGACCGCCACAGCAAAGCGTAGGGCGTCCGACATGGAAGATGGTGACGATCAGCGTGGCGATAAGCGAGCTCGTGAGGATGCAGGGACTTGATGAGCCTGCTGTGAGTGTTAGATTGTTTGCTGGCCTGCAGCTCATCGTTGTAGATGATGCCGGGAGAAAGGCCAGTACTGCTTGAGTGGCCGTTCTTTCTCTCACTTCTTGCGCTCTGTGGTATTATCGTGCTGTGATATGTTCTCGGTGTTCCATTCTGTGGTAGTGTATATATATTGCTTTCTTGACCCCGAACCCCTTGTGAGACTAGAAGCCAACACATCAGGTATCGGCACGTGGCTGTGCATCGATTGAATACTTAATTGGAGCGCGCATAGTCATGTACCAGCAACCCTCTCGACGCCTTCAGCATCTCCCTGTTTCCCCCAATACAACTTGAACTACCATGGATGAAGAGTACGATGTAAGGCTTATTGACGATACATATGACTGGCACCTCATAACGATCATCGTAGGTCGTAGTCTTGGGTACCGGGTTGACCGAATGTATCTTGTCGGGTCTCTTGTCGGTCGAGGGGAAGAAGGTCCTTCATATGGACAGGAACGATTACTATGGAGGCGAGAGTGCCAGCTTGAACTTGACTCAGGTAGTTCCACGTCATACCGAGGCATAGGGCCCTTGCTAATCCACGACGAAGCTCTACCGCAAGTTCAGACCCGATCAGACCCCTCCGACTGAACTGGGTCGTGACCGCGACTACGCCATCGATCTTGTCCCCAAGTTCATTATTGCATCGGGTGAATTGACGAAGATCCTTGTGCATACTGAGGTCACAAGATACCTTGAGTTCAAGCAGATTGCTGGCAGCTTCGTCTACCGCGATGGCAAGATCTCCAAGGTGCCTAGTAACGAGATGGAGGCCGTCAAGAGCCCTTTAATGGGTCTCTTCGAGAAACGCAGGGCCAAGAAGTTTTTTGAGTTCCTTCAGGGCTGGAAAGACGAAGATCCCGCGACACACCAGGGTAAGTCCTTGCCATATCAAGACGCGACTCGCCAGCCCGGAAGTTGACTCGGAGATAGGCATTAATCTTGACAGGGATACTATGAAGACTGTTTACGAGAAATTTGGGCTCGAGCAGGGCACTCAAGACTTCATCGGCCATGCCATGGCTCTGTACCTTGACGATGAGTAAGTTGTCCGTAATCCGAGGTCAGGATGGACCGTTTATGCGCCCTAGCTATATCAACAAGCCGGCTCGGCCAACCTACGAGCGTATCGTCCTTTACACGTCTTCCATGGCTCGCTATGGAAAGTCGCCCTACATCTACCCCCTGTATGGTCTCGGAGAGTTGCCTCAAGCATTTGCGCGCCTCTCTGCCATCTATGGTGGTACTTACATGCTTGATAAGCCCATCGACGAGATTGTCACCGACGCAAATGGTAAATTCGTCGGCGTACGCAGCGGGAACGAGACTGTCAAGGCTAAGCAGGTCGTCGGCGACCCCAGCTACTTTGGTGCTGGGAAGACCGACAGCGGGAAGGTCAGGGTTGTGGAGGAGGGCAAGGTCATCCGGGCGATTTGCCTCTTGAAACACCCTATCCCTGGTACAGACGACTCGGACAGTTGCCAGATCATCATTCCTCAGAACCAAGTTGGTCGCAAGAATGGTAAATGATTCCTCTACCACGCTAATGCATGTCTGACATAGCTGTCCAGATATCTACATTGCGATGGTCTCGTCCACCCACAATGTTTGCGCCAAGGATGTCTACGTAGCCATCGTCAGCACCATTGTCGAAACGAGTGTGCCGGAGAAGGAGATACTTCCGGCCCTTCAGCTGCTTGGCCCTATCCATGACAAGTAAGCGCCCACGTAGTTGTCCGCGTATTCTTTCGTCTAAACGGGAGCTGCGTCCAGATTCGTCTCTGTTTCTAACCTGTACACCCCGACCGCGGACGGTAAATCCGACAACATCTTCATTACGAAATCTTACGACGCGACATCGCACTTCGAGACTGTCGTGGAGGACGTCCAGGATGTGTGGAAGAGGATGGTTGGCAGTGACCTTGTCCTCAAGAAGAGGGAGATCGAGGGCGTCCAGGAGTAAAGCCTTTATCCACTCATCTGCATTCATTTCTTTCGTTCGGCCTTTTAATCCTTCAGGTTCTCAGTGTGCAATGTCTTGGATCTAGCAGCTATCAAACAACCTTTGTATTACATCTCGCTACAGCAGCATGAAATAATAGAACGGAATTATGGGATTACGACTACGGTTACTACTAGCATATGCTATTCCGTACTCCCCAGTCTAAAATACCGCGCGCACGTCAAAAAAAGGCGTTCATATCGAACTCTGGTACTTTGACATCCTTCTTGGCTGATTTCATCAAGTTTCCCAGGCCTGCTTTGCGAGCGAGGAAGTCCGGTTCTTCTTTCATCTCTTCCTTCTCCGGTATGGGTAGAGTCGCGCCGCCCCTACGCTCTGGAGAAGCTGAGCGAGTCGGTGCAGCAGAAGGGATGTCCATGTCGATCATGATTGATGACGTTCTTCGCAATGCAGGTTCCAGAGGGAAGAGGGAGCGGCGAGACGCGGTGGGACTTGGTGGTAGTACCTTCTCACCTGGCATATCTTCGTGCACTGCTGTTGAAGGTCGGGCGAACGACCATGTCTGCAGTAGGTTCAGTGCCAGGACGTGACAACCTGACACCCAGTAAATCAGTAAGACACGGTGATCTGCGCATAGGACAGTAGACGGGACAGACCTAATCTGCAGAATACTCGCGCGACTTGCAGGACAAAGTTGAATTCCATCTGGCCTGAGATTTCGCTGGTCCCCTTGGCAGTTTGTAAAGTCTTTAGCTTTAGCTGCGAGAACAGAAGTGCCAGGCTCGGATCGTCGTAATGAGGCTCTCCGACCTCAGTGCTCTGACTATTGAATGCTGTAGCGGTATCCCTGAGAGGCGCCTGTAAACTGCTTGGTGAGCTTACAGTGCAGCCATGAAAGGCACTCACCACCAGTATTCTGACAGCGAAGTCCCGTCTATGCAGTAACCAGAATGCCCAACTACCCAACCACCGGTTACCATCCTTGAAGGCCAAAGGGATAACCGTGTTTTCAAGTACGTCTCGTAGGACAGGGCCACGGTCTCCCTGCTCTACCACTCGAGCCAAAGCTACGGCGAGTTGGAAATCGCGCAGCTGCCTGATACAGATATTCACGGCATCTTTCAAACTGCCGCCTAGGAGGAAGAACGCCGCGGCATACTCTTACAAGCCAATGTTAGGTATAAGTTTTCCGGAAGAGAATCAAGGGCCATACCATAGCGCTGCTTCGCTAGCAATGCATAGCCATTCTTCAGAGCAGCCGTGCGCCATCTGGGCTGAGTGAAGTCATTGGACAGGAACTTGAGCATAATAGTCTGCTCGGGATGCCAAGCAGCTGTGCGCCATAGGCCATGAACCAACTTCACCTTCCCCAACGCAAAATAAAATAAGGAGCAAGCCGTGGGATCTCGGTTGTCTCCTGCTAGATACTGGTTCCTGGCGATCACTTCCATATGAGATCTCTGTTACACTTCATGAGAATCGATGGCGTGAAGGGAATAGTATTGAAATCACCATCGTGTCCGCGGACGTAAGCCAAATGAAGACCCCGAGAGACCGAGCCTCATTCCACGTCATTTTGCCACCACATGAAGACAGTGAGGCGGATAACATGAGTTCCTGACTCTCGCTATGGAATGCCCAGATCATGTCCCGATAGCGGAGACGTTCCCGCCGACCAGTTTGCCTTGGTATCACTCCGTTGGACTGAGGACTGCTTGGCTCCGACGCACGTCGGTTCAGGATCTGGAAAGAACGCATCATGGCAAGATAGCGAAGACCATTGGCATCTAACGCGCGCCGTTGCTCTTCTACCTGCGAAAGTAAGTGCATGCCGCTGAGAGATGTTGCATAGACACGGTACCTCGAGAGTAGTTTCTATCATCACCGAGAGATGTGCCTGTTCATTGGGGGTAAAATGTGGGGGTGGATAAGTCTCTAGGTCTTCTATAAGCTGCTTCACTAGCTGCCGATCAAAGTCCGACTCTTGAGGCCTGTTCAATGTTAGCTCCGTACCAACGAAGGAAGAGGGTCACCTTACTCTTTCGTGGAGCTGGATATATCAAACAGCGACGAATATGCGGAGCTCTTTGAGTGCCGCACCTGATAACCATATGATATGGACATAACGTTGAACCCAGGCAGATGAGCTCACTTTGTCTTCCCAACGATCGTCATGCAGAAACAACTCGAGCGGAAGGCTCCTGTAGTCGCGGTAGTCCGGGGCTCCGTCGCGTTCCTCCCTGAGGTGCTTAGCCAGATTAACGATGATCTCTTTCACAAGCTCTAGCTTTCCTGCGGCATTGTCAGTGAGGATTCTCCCAAATATAGTGCAGTGCAAAGACTCACCCCACAGCAGACATTGGAGGAGCATCTGGGGATGATACTCAACTAAAGGACCGTTGAGCCGAGCTACATATTCGAAGAGACTCTCTGATACGTCTTCTCTTCGATCAAGTTGCGGTTGCCCATATAATAACATATGATGGCCTGCGCCCACCAGCAGCGATCCGTTCGCTAACCAAATCGAATCGCTGATTCCATGAGGTATCATTCTAACACAGGGACCCAACCACAAAAGTCAGCACAATATAGCACAGCAGCTCCTAAACTGACTCTGATAGGTCTATTCTCCAGCATAAATCCCACCTCGGGTTATCATCGAAGTATGACATTCTTTGCTGGCAGAGCAATTCTACTCTATGGCTGAACCCGACCGCAAGAATAGATTGGCTATCTGGTGTGGACGACCAATCCAAATCGTTGACCGGCTCGGCAATCCTAAATTATGCACCGGTCAAATCACCCCGGCAAATTCGAGATGTAAGAGTCAAACTCACCGCAGCACCTGTCGATATTCTAAACCTGAAGCAAACTCGGATTCCTTGGAATCCCAGATGGTCAACTCTTCTCCGTCTGGTCCTGGGACGACTGCATGCAGCTGTTATTCTAGTCCGGTGGATCCCTACTAAATTGCAAAGCGTACCTAAAGCTGATTTTTTCGCCGAGCTACAGCGAGCCATTCTAATGTTCTTCCTCCCTGTTCTAACCGTCCCGGTACATCTCCACCCCGTATCCGACTCTTCACGTTCGTCAAAGGACCAGAACGCTAGTTCACCAGTTTCAGATATGCTGAGGAGCACATCATGGATGGATTGTCCGGTAGCCATGTACGGAAGACTCCACGCCATGGGATCGACAGGCAGAATTATCATCGGAGGAGACGCAAGGGGCAAAGATGTATGAGAATGCATGACTAGCGACGGTTGGGGGGAGTATGAGATATGGATATGGAAGACGGAGTGATCCGACGCGATGGCGACTATGGAGGACTGGTGGGCACTAGACGGTATCACGAACATCGATGTGACTGGCGGCAGTGAGAGGTGAACAGGCGGTTGAGAATGCAGGGTCAACATTTGCTCCGCACAGGTATAGGTGGCGTACATTTTCCCTGGCCAACTTGTTGAAGATTCACTCTACACAACGGACAAAAGGGAACGTACCGTAGGCTAGCACTACAGCATGATCTGCGGCGTGCCAGGCGGCCTGCTTTAATATCGCAGAACCTCGTCCTTTGAGTCGGAATGTTTGTCCGACGTTACCGTCTCGGAGCACGGCCAGACCTCTGCCTTCCGGCGTTCTAATAAACCGGATAACTCTTGCTGATTCGCCTTCGAAGCTCTCAGGACCTTGTTGGACATTCGTAAGCCCTTCGGCCTTTGCCTCGAAAAACTCTGGTAACGATAGCTGATAAGTCGCAAGTGGAGGGGCAGTCACCAGGGTAAGCGAGGTTCGTCCAGGATCTCGTACGAGGTAGATATGTTGCGGTGCACGTGGTAAGCACCCGGGAGAGGATTGGATAAGAGTGAACTGTTTAAGGAGAGTTGGAGGGCGTCTATCTACATTCTGTGTGACCATCAAGTTTAACTTGAGGAATATTGGGGCAAAGCAGACGCCAACTCACTGCAACGCCTGATACGACCAGAGAACCGTCACCAAGCACTCGAAGGAAGAGATCCCATCCCTCATCCTTGATGTCCTTCAGCCGCCTGAATCGGCCTTCTTCATCTTTACCAGTGTTCTTCAGAATATCGTTCAGCGCATCACCGACTACTGTTCGATCAAGCCAGAATATGCTGGACGCTGTCAGGTTCGGGTCCGATTGGGAAGCCAGTGAGAAGGGTAACGAAGAGAACAAATCGATCGTGGCATGCAACTGTAAATGCTGGGGTGCGTCAATGACGGGCAGGAAGATCCTCAAGACGGAGTCGACGGTGACGGTGTACAGAATTAAGTCATCCCTTGCGCTGCGAGGTCAGCGGACTATCGGTCAAGCAGCTACAAACTTACCTGCTAGATGCTTGAGGCGCATCTCGCCACTGAACATTGGTGACCGCTCGGGGATGGGGGATTCCTTGGGTCTGACGGCCTGATGTTGTTAGGTACACACGAACAGTGTTGTCATACTGCCCAGACATCGTCAATCAATCAACGATTTGTTGAGTGAAATGCATACCAAGGACGTCGTGGCAAAGTACATCAGAGATGGCGAGAACCGCACACGCGCGGGCGTTGAAAAGCTATGAGGCAGATGAATACGTTGCGAGGACGATGTTTCGCGACTGGGACATACGTGACCCTCCATTTGTGAGACCAGGTTGGTAGATCATTTTCTAGAACTAGAGTATAGACGGACAGGTTTGATGTACTACCAATGGCAAGAAGCCCTGAGTCAAATGAGAGAAACTCTCTGAGACAAGTAGAATGCGGTATACCAGATTTACAGTCCAATGCCGTTACCTCTTGGTCTTCTGGTAGTATCAGGGTAGAGTGAACGCGCCAGACACCACTCTGGACGCCTGACATGGACCAGGCAGCTATTCGCGAGCCCATGGCCGCAATGACCTTAGATCACGAGGTTAAAGACTCAGGACAGCTGGGTATGGAGCACTTTACTCACCAGTTTCATGCTGCCATCCACCGAGACACATCTTATGCTCTCCTTGGTATGCAATGTCCTAGGAAACGCTTCCCAGAACGCCAGTGCGCGGACAAGGTGAAGTGTACGTGCGTCCAGCAGCACCAACGAATCTCCTAGAGGATAAAGCTGCAACCGGTTTCACTGACATCTGCATACAGCCCATGCAAGTGCGTGGCACTCACCAGGAGGGTCTGGGAGGGCAGGACCAAGTGCTGGAGGCCTGTCACAGGACATCCTGTGTACGCTTGCAGGAGCTCCAGCATTACGGCTGATGGGTATTCGCTTGCCCTTTGTCTGCTTCTCGGGCAGTTTCCACTCGAGATTGTGTCACACGTACAGTCATGTACGATGGCGGACAGAAAGGACAATCAGTGTGGGTTCCCCAGATTCACTGCGAAGACCGACACTAGAGAAGGACACTTGAATGCGTGGGAAACCCTAGCAAACGGTGAAGGGCCTTTGATCATGATCAACAACGTTAACATTTTGCTGATTTCCTCTCAGTTAAATTATACACAGCCGGCACCCATGGCCATGCTCGATCCTGATGTATGCAATGTATACGGAGTATGGTACACGAACCCCTCCTTAATATCCAAGGAGATATCTGAATTGTGCTTTACTGCCTGGTCGTAACCTCGTGTTCGTACGGCTCTTAATCCCCTCACATCGAGCAGCTCTGTAACAGGAACTCTATTGCGATTCCCTGCAACAGGGTCCCTTCACTGGCAGATTTGGCAGACAAAAAGTACGACAAAGTGCTGGCAGATTTTGAGACGGCCCAGCTTGAAGTTGTCCTGACCGGGCCGACGACGTCATTGATGGCGACTATACAACGTTGCAGCACTTGACGCGACTCGAGTTGTACCGTGCCGCAGTCGTGCTGCTCACTCTATACAGTCCTCCACTCTCCGTTCTCCTCTAACTTATTGCCCACCCTGGCTCGTCGCCGCTGAGAGCTCTGTCCGCCGGATACACACTGCAGCTTAGACTGTAATTATGCGACTAGGCGTCTTTGGGTCGCTATGCCTTCACGCCTGGCTGCCTCTCGCATTAGCGGCACAGACTTCATGGTCTTCTCCAACGACGCAGTCGACGACGCTCGTTGATGCGCTCTCTAACGACACTGACTATACGCTCCTCCTTCGCCTGCTCCAGCGAGCGAAGCTAATTCCCACCCTGAACAAGCTCAATGGTAGCACCCTATTCGCTCCTACTAACGATGCGATCGAGCGACGTGCCTCCTCTGATGCACTGTGGCAGGCTGCCCTAGACGACGAATCGGACTCCCTTAGAGATAACCGTCAAGAGAAACTAAGGCAGGAGCTATTTTACCATCTATTAAACTACTCTGTATTGGCCCTTCCAACGGATTCGGACCCTGAGGTACACAAGACCCTCCTTTTCCCTCGTAAAGCTGGGGACCCTCCAACTCATGAGCCGCCACCTTCTCCCCCGTGGATGCCGGTGCCGGGCGGCACATTGGGCGGAGAACCTCAGCGTTTGCGAGTTGCCTCGCATGACGGCGGGGTGCGGGTGGGAGTCAATGCTTTCGGCCGAGGGGGCGCTGAGATAGTCAAGGGAAAGGTGGAAGCAGGCAACGGCGTATTGCTGGGAATAGGGGATGTATTGCAGGTGCCGCCAGACCTGGGTGAGTTGATGTTTTTTTATAACACTGCGGCCCGATGAGTCTTATCTGGCTCCCAGCCACCGTCGTCCCTCAGCATCCGTCCTTGTCCTACTTTACCAAGATCCTTACACCAGAAATTGCAAGCTACCTCAACAGTACATCGGAGCTCACCCTCTTCCTGCCTGTTGACTCTGCATGGGAGGCTTTGCACCCGATCGAACGGTTGTACTTGGAGAGCGAATTCGCCACTGATGACCTATACCGGATCCTGGAAATGCACGCTGTGGTCGAAAAAGGTGTCAATTGGTCGGACAATTTCCAGCCTGCGGTCAACCGTGAGTGGCAGACGTAATGTAGCATGGTAGGACCGAATGAATTGACCCCCCCTTCACTTCGCGAAACAGTTACGACAGTCGACGGGAATAAACTAGAGATTGTCGTCACGCCAGAGAAGACCGTCGTTTCTAGTGCGGAGCTCGTCGAACCGGACATCTACGCGTCTAACGGTGTCTTGCATACCGTTTCGTCGTTACTCGTACCGCCCGGCGCACTCAGATTGACGCCGGAGAAGTACCTCCTCGCCCTCAACTGTACTTCCTTTGTCTCTCTGCTACACTCCGTCAACCTGACTTCCCTCATCAACGACACTGACTCTCAGTATACGATCCTCGCACCCAGAGATGACGTCATTGGCTTGTTTGGGGACGACGACTTGCCCGAGCGCGGAAGCGAGGAATTGAAGAAGCTGTTAGAGTATCACTTCATACCGGGGAAATGGGCTCCTGCCAAGCTGCGTGATGGTATGCTGCTAGAGACAGCCCTTACCGAACTTGGCCTTGATGGCGGTCATCAAGTACTCGGAATTGAAGTCAGCGACGATGGAAAGAAGGACGGGGCAGATCGAACTGTAAGGTTCGGTGGGGCTGGTGTTATCGGCGATACGAGTAAGTGATGGCATTGGTTATAAACTCTGGCGTTATTCGGATGCTTATCGTTTATCTTTTGTTCTAGTCGAAGTTAACAATACCTTGATTTACTTCATTTCGAGGCCTCTAGTACCCCCGGTGGATCCTCTGCAGACGGCTTTACCCAAGCTTGAGCTTTCGAGTTTCCTAGCAGCTGTCTTTTCGACGTCGCTGGCGGATGCTCTGAAGACCATTCCTCGGACGACCTTCCTCATCCCTCATAATGTCGCGTTCGAGCGTCTGGGCATGCTCGTTAGCGCTCATTTACTCTCCTCATCCGGGAAATCCGATTTGGAGCATGTAATTCAGCACCATATACTCGACAGTGTCGAATATGCCGCTAGCCTACAAAACGGTTCCCAGCGGACGTTTCCCACTTTGGAGGGAAGTGACATCCACCTGGACAGGTCCGGCAATGGTTCGGTTATTGTCAGTGCCAGCGGCGGCTGGGCGGGCATGGTGTCGGAGCTTTACCCTCAGAACGCACTAACGTCTACTGGTGTCATCCACGAGATTTCGGATATCATGATCCCGCGATCGGTGAATCTCACAGTCGGGAAGTTGGTCAAAGCCGCCAAGGGGTCGACTATGACGAGTTTGGTTATCAAGGCCGGGATGGACTGGATCTTGAACGGCACTGCTCCTCCTGAAGGGTCTCCCTGGGCTGATGTGGAATTGCCTCCTGCTGGTTGGACACTGCTATGTCCGACGGACGACTCGTTCAAGCAGTACAACCTCACGAAACTATACTCAGACCCAGTCCGGCTGAGGGCTATCGTCGCCCAACATCTCATCCCTACCGCCAAATCGCCCGCACCCCCATCGCTCGACGTGTTTGATGTCCTGAACAATAATCGACCGCTGTCACTGCAGGATTCGGCCACCTACTCGACTCTGCTGTCACCAAACTCGGCGTACGGCGATATTGTCGTCCGCGAGATGCAGGGTGACAGTGGAAGTCAGTACGTCCTCGGTATCAAGGGCGCCAGAGGGACGAATGGGGACGCGGATTGGGCTCGGGTGCTGTCTTGGGGACGGTCAACCACCGGCGGCGGCACTGGAGGGGTCATCCAGATCGATACGTTGCTGATCCCGTACCAGCCCCCGTGGTGGATCGAGTATGGCGCCCCCGTAGCGGTGGGCGTTCTCGGCGTAGGTGTGATCTGTTTGTTCTTCTGGGGGGTGAACGTCTATTGGAGGAGAGATACCACAGAGGCCACCTACGAGCCTATTGGAGGATTCGGACATGCTGTGGACGAGGAGGATTCATGATTGCATACGCTTTCTTGTCTTGCTGTTTTGCTGTATAGACTTGTATGAATAAGGAACACTAATACTGTAATTTGTAGGTAGTATTTACTAGCTGTTATGTATGTCGGGCCTCCTGTGTTATAAGTAAACGACGATTGTTGGATGGGACCCCGCAGATCTTGCGCAAGATTAGATCGTGTGCTAATGCGAGGTCGATTTATATATAAAATCACGCGGAATCGCCCTCCGTACCCGACGTCCTTTCAGATGGTGCTCACACCTTGCCGGATCCGGAGCCCAGTGCATTCCGCCTTCGCCTTGGCTCTCTGCCTTGTCCTGGTGTTTCGTCCATCATGGTGAGTACGCCCAGGTCGTCCTCTAAGTATTTCCGAGACTGATCCTTGTTCTGTAGAGCTCAGAGTCACCAGCAGTAGAGGAGGCAAAGGGTGTTGCTGCAGAGAACATCAAGTCGTTCACGGCGGGAGGCGTCGGAGGTATATGTGCGGTTCTAGTTGGTTAGTATTTCGCGTCATCATAGGAGCATCTGTTGTTGACACATTGGAACCCTAGGGCATCCGTTTGACCTGACGAAGACGCGTCTACAAACGGCTGCCTCTGGTACATACACCGGTGCACTAGATGTCGTCCGGAAAACGCTGGCTCGTGACGGTGTGGGCGGGTGAGTACTATCGTTCTTTGTCAGGTCGTCGGTAATCATTCCATCTAGACTGTACCGGGGTATCGTCCCGCCAATATTGGGGGTCACACCTATCTTTGCCGTATCATTCTGGGTATGTACTAGAGACCTAGGGGGCGTGGCGACCTGTTCTCATATGTGGTGCAGGCGTACGATGTTTCGAAGAAACTGATCTACGCAGTTACCCCTAATCGGACAGAAAAGAATCTGTCAATACCCGAGCTCGCTACCGCAGGTTTCCTATCGGCCATCCCAACGACCCTTGTAACTGCGCCAGTGGAACGCGCGAAGGTTGTGCTGCAGGTATGGCGATCTTGTTCATGTTGATTGTAGTCCAACGCTGAGTGTGCGTTGTAGGTCCAAGGGCAGGGAAAGTCGGACACGCAATATAAGGGCGTAATCGACGTCATACGGGGTTTGTACAAGGAAGGTGGTATCCGGAGTATCTTCCGAGGATCAGTCGCCACGGTTGCGAGAGATGGGCCCGGAAGTGCAGCGTTCGTGGGAGGCATCTCATACAAAGCGCGGCATGCTGACAGTGACCTACAATAGATATTTCGCGGCGTATGAAGTCACCAAGAAGGCGCTCACGCCAGTGGGGTCTTCACCAAGCGAGCTGAACCTTGGTGCAGTGATAACCGCCGGCGGCATGGCGGGCGTTGCAATGTGGGCGGTAGCAATCCCTCCGGATGTACGTTGCTGATCTCCCCACATCCTGCTGGCATGCTGATAGCTTTCATTCTTCCTAGGTTCTCAAGTCTCGCATCCAGTCTGCACCGAATGGGGTGTATTCTGGATTCCTGGATTGCGCGAGGAAGACTATCGCCGCTGATGGCGTAGCAGCGCTGTGGAAGGGGTTCGGACCTGCAATGGCTCGAGTAAGGATTCTCGTTTGATAGATGATTTGCAGTCACTGACGGCATGGCCCTGAAGGCTTTCCCGGCGAATGCGGCGACCTTCGTAAGTGCTGTTCAGCGAATTTGCCCGAAGTGTACTTACTCAGGTTCCTTTAGCTCGGCGTTGAGTACTCGAGACAGTTACTCGACAAGTTCTTCTGAGCGCCAAGGGCTGATATGCTGGATTTCTCCCCTGGTCTCCTAGCCATACATCGTCTTATGTTCGTAGCATTCAACATAACTAATTTATCGGCTTCATGGACACACCTTGGACAATTGACTGTTGACGGCCTTCCATTTGTGAGTATCATGTCACGGTATCTTCGGAGTGCTATTATGAAACCTCGGCGTTCTCACACAATTCATGAAATGTGGAATCCGAGCGGCGAGGTGTCAGTGATAGCAGGCCTCATACCTGCTATCGCCTGATGAATCTGTTATGGGACTTAGACTACTGAAGATAAGTATTCTGAAATCTTCAGGACCAGTCCGAGTCGCGGAGCCATTTCTTTGGTAGCACGTGACCGTGTATCTGCTTCCGCGACGCGTCCAGGGAGATGAAAGGGTCGTATTTAATGAAAGGGAGCACAATCGAGCGCCCATTCCTTTCTTCCTCCCCTCCCTCTGCGATACATAAAAGCCTGCGTTGGTGGCTTTCCGTCTTGCTACCAACGACATTCACGAAAGGTTCGACGACTTCTAATGACTTATTCAAGACCCCAGCAATACTGATACACTCCTTACTTCGTGAGTTCTCTGTGGCTTGCTCTGATACAACACCTTAAAAGGCACTCATGTCGCGTGTCATGATACAGTATAGATGAGCGACTCTGTGTCTGCTGTACATAAACCCTCGCGAGTGAAGCCGCATTCTGCTTCAGAGTGCGTGAAGGAGAGAATGGTCATGGCTAATAAGCTAATACCTACTTTCTAGGATCGCCAAGAACACCAAGTTTTTTGAGAAATGGACTACGTCCCAAGGCTGCAAAGTGGCAACATATGATGATATTCCGGATGAATTCTTCCATGAGGTCGAGGCGGTATTCGACACAACCGGCAAGCTACCAGCGGCATGGCTGGAAGAAGTGAGTGACGTTGCATTAACTCGTTAAGTTTATTGACGAGGCTCCAGGGCTCTGATCTTCACGGAAGATTGTCGTCAGACTTAGTGACTTTCTTCCGTAACGCTCGTGAAGATTGCCCGGCCCTCTTCTCGGACCAAGTCGACCCAGCTGACAGCCGAGACCTCCTTACGGGCATAATCTGCTCCTTCGGAGGATGGAAGACTCTGAAGAATATAGTCGATCGCAATGAGAAGCGGTCGGAGGCTAGCGACGTTTGTAGCGTGTAAGTGGTGTTGCTTGGCGGGGCCCGTACCGGACTAAGTGCTATGACATGCACAGGTATACCATGATAAGGAGACTGGCCATCGAAAAGAGCGACTATAGGTAAGCCAAGCGCCCATTCATCCTATCCGCAAGCTAACCCTCCGCAAGGGTGCAGACTCCTCTTTCGTTACCTGAGCCACTGCCCCACTGTACGAAGATAACAAATCGTACCGTCCGGATTCTGAACGCTTCCACCATCGTCCCCGATAACATGGTGTTCCTACCTGCAAGTCTGGGTCGACGGCTTTCCGCATCCACCAGCTCCCTCTGGAACAAACTGAAGTGGGACTGCCGCTTGGGCACGGATATATCGGACTCGAAGTCCTCCGAACGGTCCTTGAACTTCCAGGCGACTCCTTGCCAACAGTTGCCTGAAGTAGAGGGTTTCGAGTTTGCCAGCAGCGTGTGGGAGGACAAGAAGCCCAAGAAGCACGTCAGTGACGAGGCGTACAGACAAAACCGCATGAGCTGTGCGGGTGTCGTACGCCAGTTGGCTGCGTTCGGAGTCGAGGTCCCCGTCTTCGGTCTCGTATGGGAGAATGGCACTGTCAGGGCCCATATCGACTGGCATGCCACTGAAAACGGGAAGCAGGTCAGTCGCGTCTCATGTTGGGCATCATACGAATGCTTACTTCAGAGGGTGGTGCAGGCCGTGTTATCCGCACCTTATACGAAAAACGACGATTGGCGCCCGCACGTATGGGATCTCGAAAAACCTGGCGACGCCCTCCAGGTCTTCCTTCTCGTGCGGAACATCGACGACTGGACCGTGAACGGATTCTACGACCGCGTGCGCAAGGGCCTTGCCGCTACCGTTAAGCAGTTGAAGAAAGGCTCTCGCCACTTTGTTCCCTGGCGGCGCGCAGGCGTCCTCGAGCCGACCCCTGACCCGAGGACCCGGCGAGGATCGCGTTCGAGTATGGGATCGACTACGAGCGTGGTCGTGCAGCGTACGCGCGTCTCTGATACGGGGACGTCGAGGACCACGGTGGCCGTGCGGCAGGAGGAGCCTGTCAGGCGCGTTGGCCGTCGGACTCCGAGGCCGTCGATGGAGTGCATTCAGGAAGAGGAGCCTGTGGAGGCACCTGAGCCGGCTCCTCAGGCGAGGGCATTTGCGAAGGGCAAAGCCCCGGTCCGCGCTGGGCCGTCCAAGGCTACTGCCCGCAGCCGGTGCCAGACGGTGGATAGGGACGCTGTCGTGCGGAAGACGAGCACCGTACATGCTGCTGCGACTTCCAAGACGACGACTACTACTCGAGGCAAGACCAAGGACGTACAAGAGGACGTGGTAGTTCGCGCCACCACCTCTACCACTGTTACAAAGGGCAAACGGAAGGCCGCGCCTGTCCTCGCCGAGGCCGTCCCCAACGCAGGGCCTTCCAGTGCTACTGAGGAGAAGAAGACCAGACGCCCGCGGGGGACGACGAGGGCGAATGCGACTACTACTACGTCGTCCGGCGAGGGCAGGAGTCTGTTGACCCAGTCTGGCGCGCGGAAGGAGAACACCCGGGCGAAGGAAGAGGTCGCCGAGGCCGTTCAACTGAGGCGCTCGCCGAGGAAACGATCTTGCCAATGATGCTTGCCCGCCCGATATCATTATGCTTCATGTACCGCTTTGGCTGTATTCTGTACGTACGACGAGTCGCTGGTATAATTGGTACACGGTGCTATATCTATCATATCATATGCAGCCACTATATCCTGGGTCCGAAACAAGTACATACATATAGCGACGGTAAGCACCGGGCTCACTTCCAGGCGCTGGGGATCTTGCCGACGACGTCCTTCCACAAGGCTATGCGGCCCTTTTCCCAATCCTCGACAAAGCTGAGCCCGGCGTTCCCGCGGCGGCCCTGCTCGCGCTGGAGGCGCTTCTCGCCGTCGCACCAGAACAAGACCCAGTCGGAGCCCATGCGAAAGTGGCCCGATGCGCGCTCAAAGTACCACTTGTTGACGGGGTTGTTCGCGCGGCTGCGCCAGACGAGGTCGCGGCCCTCGCCCATGCCCTGGTGGCCGCCCGGGTTGGGGTTGACGGCGTAGGGGAGGCCGAGGCCGTAGGACTCGTCGTGGAGCGCGACCCAGAGAAAGTCGACGGTGCCGTCGCCCTGGTGGGCGGGGAGGACGGCGAACTTGTCGAGGTAGGCGACGCCGGCGGCCTCGCGCGTGACGATGGCGGCGCCGGCGTAGTCGCCGGCGACGATGGCAAAGTCGAGGTGGCGGCGGAGGCGCGCGTAGAAGGCGGGCGCGTCGAGGGCGCGGGCGAAGGACGCCTCGAGGAGGCGCGTGAGCTTGGGCTCGTCGAGCGCGGCGGGGGAGCGCAGGACGCGGATGTCGAGCCCGCGGCGGAGGAGGGTGGGCGTGTTGGGCGTGAGGCGCGCCTTGGCGGTGGTGGTGGAGGTGGTGGAGCCCTGGAGGAGCGCGTGCGGGAGCGAGGAGGAGAGCGCGGGCTTGTTGGTGATGAGGTTCGCGATGAGCGAGGAGGGCGAGCGGTGGTTGACCATGACGGCGGAGGAGGAGGGCGGCATGTGCGCGAGGCAGGTGCGCGCGAGCGCGAGGTTCGCGAGCGCGGTCGGGTGCGTGGCGCGCCAGGCGGGCTGGAAGGTGGAGGTGATGTGGTGGAACTCGGAGTGGAGGTTGATGAGGAGGTGCGGGAGGCCCGCGCGCGCGTAGGAGGGGACGCCGCCCTCGCGGTTGATGATCATGAGCCGCAGCGGGGTGAGGTCGACTTGGTCAGTAGTAGGCGGGGGGGTCTCGGGCTCTGTCGAGGAGGATGACGACGGCGGGGACGCTTCGGACATGGCGCGGACGAGGGCGGCGACGACGTCGTTGGCGTCGACGCGGGTGGAGCGGCAGAAGGAGTCGAGGGCCATCGGGGGCAGCACCGGGATCTCGCCGGCACGCAGGGCGCTGCGTATGAGCGTGAGGTCGCTCGGGTAGGCGTGGGCCTCGGGGACGTACTCGCCCTTGCGCGCGTCCTGGTCGTCGTCGTCGTCGCCGGGCTTGGGCCCGAGGCGGACGACGGCGCCGAGGGTGGGGCGGGCCCTGCCGCCGTGGGACTCGAGAAAGTGGGCGACGCGCATGGTCTCTTCGAGGATGGCGTCGCGCTCGTGCTCGGCGCCACGGACGAGGTCGTCGTTTTCGACGACGATGACGGAGACGAGGCCGAGCTTTTCGAGGTAGATGATGCCGCGGCAGACAGAGTCGAGCTGGCGGTCGGTGAAGGGGCCCTGGATCTTGACGAGGGCGGTGCGGCGGTGGATGGGGTTGAGGATGGCGTTGACGAGGGACGAGGCCGGGCGGACGTCTTCCTGCGGCGGGGTCTGCGGGTGAAGGTGGGTGTGGGGGTCGTGGGCGGGCAACGGCGGGGTTATTTGTGACTGGGAGGGAGTGGGATCTGTGACCGGGGGAGGGCGGGGACGGAGGCCGAAGGAGGCCATGTAGTTCTTTGTGTCGCGGGAGGACGGGTTGGCGCGGAGGATGGACAGGATAAAGTCCTGGCGGGGCGTTCAGCGCGTGTGTGGTGAGCAGAGTGAATGGCACAAACATTGTCTGGCGGCTCAGCCTCGTCGGCGTCGCGCGTTGGACCTTGCCTGAGGCTCTGGGACGTGGTCAGCGACGAGCGAGGCGGATGCGGCGAATGACTGACTGCGTAAAAGGCCTTGAACGAGGCTGCATGGCTTGCGCTGGACGCTACGCGGTTGCAGCTATGGCGGATTGAGTGCGAGAGCATCGGTCTGGGATGGCGGGGGACGACGGGGGCTGATATAATATACATACAGCTTGCAGTGAGGGGCGTACTGCAAATTTACCCCAGATTAGATTAGATCTATGATGTACTGCCGGCATTGGTTTCATCTCAGCCTCGAATCGCTCATTTCGCGCTGCGTCGTATGACGAGCTGCCACCGGTGATCATCTCCGTCGCTCTCTTCAGCGTCCTTTGCCTTTCCCCGGCACATCCTCGGCCGTCTACCGAGCGCTGCCATCCTGATCCAGGCGATTGCCCCCGTCATCCTTCTCTATTACCCAGCCATTCTCCCGGCGATGCGCTCAGAAGCGTCTTTTGCTATTGGGTCGACAGCCACAGTACTGCTATCGAGTCATAAATCCCTCAATCGATCCAGGTCCTATTGAATGGGTCCTTCTCTGAAGGCTGTTCCGCCAAATACACTCATACTCGATCTGTTCGCCGACGACGTCGACGGAAGCTTGGTCCTTCAAGTATCACGAGCCTCAAGTGGTCGTGATATAGAACACTGAGGATCAGCAGTGTCTGCCTAACCCATCTACTGTTCACGTTCAATGACCTCCCGTCCAACGGTTTTCACGAGCAAAGGCTCTCGCCTTGTACTACACCGCAGATCAGCAATATCGATGTGCTCGCTCTTGCCCTCGAACATTTCACTTCATCTGGTGAGCGCTTCACCGATCTCGCCGAGCGTGACGCTCTGCCGCTGCCTGCTGGTCTGCTGTATTCCCCTTCATCGCATCGACACTGCTTCCTGCTCCACCAAGCGCGCAGGCAGTTGTCAGGACTGCCAGTGCCCCTCCCGGCGTCTTATACGAAGCGCCGACCCTGTGATCCCACTGGTCCTTTGTCTACGGAACATCCACATTGGACGAACGTTGCTGTACCGAACCGCCGTCGACGGTGACTCAGGGCTCCGTCGAAGGCACTGGGCTTGAGCGTCTCTTCCGTGACTGACGCCGGACGACCATAAAGTTCATCTGAACCCCGGCCTCCTCAACTGATGGTGCCGTGCTCCCTCCAAATATACCGCGTATACCATTGCATTCCCTTGGCATCGTTTTGACTACCGTATTATCAAAGTGATAGCGTCAAGGCGTCAAGTTTGTGAAATGTAGCTTGATGTACTTTTTAGAGACGCGAGTGCGAAACACCAATAATTTCTTGAATGCTACACGCTTGGGGGTGCGATTACCAGCCATTCTTTCAACGCATTAGTGAACCAGTGAATACCTTGTCCTCACGAGCCTCTTCAAATTTGTGGCACTTGAAGCTGAGAAACATCGGCACCGAGGACCCGCAGAAGCACATCGGTGATGGCCTCCCACGTGCCGCCATTATCTTGCCGGCCCTTGTCCTCTGCAGTCACCTCGTCCGGGCTGCTCGTCTTCGCGTACCCATCGTCACATTCATACACTAGCACAATACACGAGCCCTCACGAACCAGACACGCTTAAGCTACCGTGGACAATGACTGCGCCGCACGCAGCCGCCGCCAAGGTCAGCAGGCGCGAGGCTCACAGAACGACTTCACTAACCCGCGCGATCGCCCGCCATTACCACCCAGTTCTACCAGGAGGACATCGTCCGGCTCGTCGACCAGCCCGACGCGCTCGGCATCGTCCTCGTACGTCACCCCCGCTCTCCCAGGCGCACCCACCTAACCCCCCGCCCCGCGGCAGCGATGCTGGCACGACGCCGAGGACCTCCCCCCGCCGACGCACCACCCCGACCCGCTCATGCGGCCCCTGCAGCGCGGCGAAGTCGGCGTGTCCTTCTTCCCCACCGCCGCCCGCGAGATCCTCCCCGAGGCGCGCTGCGCGCTCGTCGACCGCACGTTCGTGTGCGGCGACCTCGCGAAGCGCCGCGTCGAGGACGTGCGCAGCGCGGTCGTCGTCGACGTGGACGTGCGCTTCCGCCTGCGCCATGTCGTGAGCGGCGAGGAGGTGCGCGGGTGGAGGAGGCTGAGCGAGCTCGAGTGGGAGGTCGATATGGAGGTGGGGGATTATGTCGTTTGTGATAATTGGATTGGGCAGGTGAGCTGGGCCTGGGCGATGTGTTTATATGCGGGGGTGTGCTGACGTGAGGGGATGGGGGTAGATTGCAGAGGTGCGCACGGGCGGTTTCCGCTGTGCGGGCGTGTGCTGATGCCACACAGATGTTCGACGAGGCGACCATCGAGGTGTCGAATCACCAGCTCATCAAGCTGCCCGAGCTACGGTCGGGTCTGACAGTAGGCGACCGAAGCAAGGTAAGCGTATCTCTACATCTCAGCTCGTCATCTCTCTCTCTCAATGGGCGCCCGTGCCACCAGGAGCTCCTGCAGCCGGTTATGGCCGGCATGCAGAACCTCCTGCAATATTTCAGGGGAGGCAGTATGCCCCAGCCAAGTAATGAAGACACCGTCGTGGATCTCAAGCACACCGTCCTGGCCGTTACCTGGCTCGCCGTCAACCAGTCTGTACGTTCCAATTCCCCATAGCACCTCGTCATGTACACCACTCATATCCTACCATCCAGCTCGACCCCGCCGAGATCCAGAACAGCCAGCGGCCCCAGCGCTTCTGGTACGGCGCGGACCTCTCGCGGCTCACGCTCGTGCGCAGCCACATCGACCAGATGGTGCGCGTCGGCGACCGCCTGAACCTGCGCCCCGCGCCGGGCCTCGACCTCCCCGTCACGCGGCACGGCGGCGACCCGCCCGTCGAGGTGCGCGCGTTCGTCGTGTCGGACACGGACACGACCGTCACCGTGCTCTGGCAGGACGGCACGCTCGAAAAGTTCAAGTCGACGGAGCTGATCCCGTACCTGAACGCGGACGAGTACGATTGCTGGTACGTCTTTTCCTTTGTCGGGTTATGCCGGAGCTGGATGCGACGCATGCGCCAGGCCCGGCGACGCGGTGTTCCACAAGACGGAGGACGGCACGCGCGCGGCGATCGTGCAGCGCGTGAACCCGGCCGAGCGCACGGCGGTCGTGCGCTACTTTGACGCGCCGCCCGCGGACGCGCGGGAGGAGCTCGTGTCCGTGCTCGAGCTCGACACGCGCGGGAGCAACGACTGGTCCGCGACGATCCCGACGCCGCCGGACGGGCTCGGCGTGCACCGCGGGGACATCGTCTTCATCCACCGCGCGGGCACGACGAACGGCATACCGAAGCCGCGCGTGCCGCGCATCGGCGAGCTCGAGTCGTGGGTGCGCGATATGCCCGTGGATAGCAGGGGCCTCGTGGATGGGTGGAGGAGGGAGATGGCGGTGATCGGCGCGGATATTGCGCAGAAGCGCGGGACGCATGGGTATGAGGAGGGGAGTGTGCGGCGGCCCAGCAAGGACGACAGCTCTTTGAACTGGTTCGGTGAGGTGTCTGATGTGAGGATCTCTTTCGTATGCTGTATGGAGGTTGCAGAGAGTTGACGACGGCTTCAGTTGCTCCTGGACGGAACCGTAAAGGTTCTACTACCCGACGAGTCCGAGGTCATCCTGCCGCTCGACCGCCTGACGCGCTTGTACGATGGGTTGGAACAGCTCGAAGACATGATGGCCGACGAGGCGTCCGAGTTTGGGGAGGGAAGCGAGGGCGAGACCGACGAATACTGGGCGCAGGACGAGAACGGCGTCTGGCGGCCTGCGCATGACATCGATGATAAAGACGAGTGGGAGGAAGCGGATGAGGATGAAGACGAGCCGGAGGATGCTATGGACGTGGATGGGTCTGACTATGAGGAGACAGAGCCTGTCATGGATATCAGCCCGCCTCTGATGGACTACACTACAGAGTCGGTGACGCCTCGCCCTTCTGGCGAACAAGCCCTGTCGTCAGAGTCGGCCATGGAAAAGTCTACTGCGCCGGACGTGCCTGAAGACATCGCGGCCGACGGTGAAGAGAGCGGCGAACAACCCGCGGAGGAGGACAGAGACGCAAACTGGAAGAAGTTCGAGCTGTTACCGACGACACCGGTGGACCACGCGTTCTATGCCTCCCCTCCTGCACAACCCTCCAGGAATTTCCTCGGTCGTCTAACGAAAGAGTACCGGGTGCTTTCGAGCAGCTTACCTGGTGCGTGAGTTTCGCGGTCTATTCACGTCTTTGCTCATTCTCGTGGCAGACTCGATCATTGTCCGTGCATACGAGGACCGCACGGATTTACTACGATCCTTGATTATTGGGCCGGAGAACACTCCTTACGAGGATGCTCCGTTTGTGATCGACTGGATGCTAGACTCGAATTTCCCAAATACACCGCCTATAGCACACTTCCACAGCTGGACGAACGGCAATGGTAGAGGTGTGTTCCATTCCATCCATCGCAACTGTATCCGTTCTGACGCATCCCCAAGTGAACCCGTAAGTCTTGCTGTTGTCAGAAATTCTGGCGGATATTCAAGGTTGCCACAGCAACCTGTATGAAGAGGGCAAAGTATGCTTGTCTATCCTTGGCACTTGGGCTGGTGACAAGAACGAAGTATGGAATCCTGCCCGATCGTCGCTCTTGCAAGTCTTGGTGTCAATACAGGCCCTGGTGCTTGTCAAAGAACCGTGCGTACGCCCCGCCCTCATTGCATCATTAATATCACTGATTGTCTCGCTGTTCAGCTGGTTTTGCGAACCTGCATACGAGAAGTTACGAGGCACTGAGGAGGGCATGGTCAACAGGTGCGGTAGTGAATTATGCGTCACCTTCCCTCAACTGAACATTTGTCATAGCCGATTATACAGCGAGAAAGCATATGTGCTATCTCGAGGTTTCGTGCGACGTGCTCTAGAGATCCTTCCTGGATCAATAGAGTCGGAGATACGCTGGATGTATTATACGAATGGCAAGCTGGAGAAGGTCCTCCGGGATGCCAACGCCCTCATCGAGAAGAGCAAGACGAAGTTAGAGGATAGTTCGCAAGATCTAGCAGTGCCCCGGTTAACATCTGGTGGTATCATCACTTTGGAGCGGACATTGACTAAATTAAAGGCTCTATTGGATTCACATCACGCTTCACTGTAGCTATAGGTGGTCGTTCATCTGTCATGTTTGACATTTTTATTTGTATTGCACTTTTAGGACATATTCCGATGGGTTATCGGTATCAATATACAAACTCTAGAATTCTAAAGGCTTGTCAGCTATTGCATCCCAGTGCCTGCTGTTCCACAAAGAGAAGTGCGACAACAGCCAAGTTGGCTTGGAAGCGAGCAAAGGCGTCGCCAAATAAACCCCAAGATGATCATGCAAGTTTGTGATTAAACGTAGCGTATCCGAAGGGAGGCACGAATGGAGAAACTCAAGGCAAGTGAAAGGATATCACGGGACATTTGAAATATGCGCGTGTGCATCTGTACAAGGTGAGAGGTATGGCAGCAACTGTGGACGAAAAGCGGATGCAAGGAGAGACAAAAGCAGGGCAACAGCCTCACAAAGCAGCTTAGCATTGTCCTAAGAAGCTGCTCTTGGGGAAAGGCTGCTTGAAGTCGTCCCGCCAGGTTGTCAGATTGGCGTCCGTGTAAGCCTAGCGGCGATTGTCAGCAGTGGAATGATGATTTAAACCATGTGGCTCCACGTACCCGAAGATATTGATTGATGTAGGCTTGCGTCGGGAAGTCCTCAGGATCACATCCGATGTTAATCGCGTTCTTGGGTTGGTACACCCGGATATAATCAATGGACATGGTAGTGGGGAACGTCAAGTGGTCCAAGTCGACGTCACCGAAGTTTGTCGACATACCCAAGTTGGCGATGATGTACTAAGAGGAAGGTTAACAGACTGATGGAATACTCGAGGAGAACTGGACTTTACCAGAGGCTCTTGGGGAACGGGTCTGGCGGAGATCTCCACCCTGCTGTCCGCAGCCATACCTGCACCATTCAATTGCCATGCGAGCTTATCCGCTGCGATCCATGCAATGTACTATGGAACGTTGATCAGTGAACAGTCAGAGCAGGTGCCAATTCATGATACTCACGGAATTATCGAAACCAGGCTTATACTCGAATCCATATACGGAGAAGCATCCCGTTCCCAACTCGTAACAATCCTGCTCAGTCTTGGTTACACCCGAGGAAGCCTGTTGGTAGACACCTCCGGTATACGAGTTTAACTCCGTGGCAGTCGGGTCCGGAATAATCAGATTGTCACTGGTGTTGAACCATTCATACTGGGCATTGAACGGCTGCAAAAACACCTGGATCAGCTTTTGACACTTATCTGGCAGAGCAGCACTTACACCCCACTGCGCCGACTGGGAGACGAAACCCTGCTTCGGGTCACCACTGATCTATATGATAGTTTGAGCCAAAGTATAATGGATAATGAAGATTAGCATACCTGAGCCTCGAAGATATCGATTTCAGGTGCTGCCCGACCAACGTACGTCCCATCAGAATGCACGGGCCCGGGATGCGATTCGCCAGGGCAAGTACACCTGGACAGACGCTGACCAGGAAGGTAAGAAAGGACGCCATCGTAGCTCTTATCGCCTCCAACGGTAGCCGCAATGGGAAGACCGTTATGCGTCTGATTGGGGGCGGTACCGACATCACAAGCATCATAGGTGTACGGCCACTAAATACCTGTCGTGAACAAACCGGGTTCCTCTGCGAACTCAAACGCAAGATCACGCACCATTCCTTCCAGACTCGCGCCAAAACCAGCGCGGCCAAGGTTACCCATGGTCCAAACAGCAGGCCACAAACCAACAATGTTGTTGATGCCAGGCAAAGTGACGGCAGTCACGATCATGCCCCCCGTAAAGCAGAACTTGTTCCAGGTGGACATCATGCCGCCGCGGTAGTCCAGACCGTGGGTCTCCGTCTTCGAGAGCGTGATCTTCAACGCTCCACCCTTTGTCGTAATCGCATCCGGAGAGTACCATTCCATGTTGTTCGTCTAAAAGGCATAGAACGTGTCAGTAGAAAGACTGTTTCCATTAGTGTCCACAAGACTCACCTGCCAGTAATGCAGATCGACAGCTTCCCAGTATGGGTCGTCACCAGGGTAGAAAGTCCGGCCATCCACATTGAACTCATCACTGAACACGAGCTGCATCTCCTGCGTCGGATCTGCGTACGATGGGTGGGTATATGCCTCCTGTGGGGTGTCGAGGTCGATAAGCCCCCAGTTTCCAGCCATACTCGGAACCTGCAAGACAAGCAATCTTTGAATACGAACAATCGAAATCACTACAACTCCACCAGCGCACCTGCCCGGACGCATTAATCCCACCAAGGTTGAAACCACCGAAGGTCTTTAGTGAATGCTTGGTGAAATAGGTTATCAGAGGGTATCCGGCACTATGGACGGATGTCAATCAGTGACATGTTGGCACGGTCACATGCGAGGAAACGCACAATAAGGTAACAAGCGATATGCACAGAATCGCTAAGCATCCCAAGTTCGTGAAACCTCTTGAAGTGAAGATGGTGCCGCCCTGATCATTCTTGCGGTCCCTTCGGGGATCGGGATTATGGAGAAAGTCGTCGGGTTCAGGGTGATTGGGGGAGAGGTCGGCGCCCCAGGAAGAGGGGTCAGGGGAGAGAGAAAACTATAGTAGAGTAGGGTCAGTGACTTGCATCCTTCGAGTGAGTCCCTTGGACAAAAAGGATGCCCAATCCCGCCCTAGCAACATGGCTACAGGAACGCTCGCGCAATACCGGCAGCATACGCCTAGGGCAGCATCTCCAGCAGAGACGCTAGCTAAACTGGCGGGATGGCTCAGTTGGGACGGGCCAACTCACCTTGTCAGAAATCGAAGGAGCCAAGGAGGATGTCTTGGACATCCCACCTCCAATGCCCGTGTACGGTGACGATTCATTCTGCGAGTAAGTCGACTCAGCGCTCCCGCCTGCCTGACAAGACAACGCGACACACCAGAGAGCCATTGCTGGCCATGCTGCGCAAGGTCGGGCCCTTCGCGAACGTGGCCTGCACGCCCTGGCCCGAGCCTCTCGTCGCCGAGGGTGGTAGGAGGTTGGTGGTTGAAGGAGAAGGAGAATTGGCAGCGTAGTAGTGCCTATCGGCCTGGGACGACATGGTGAAGTCGGAGGACGAAGAGGCGGCGGAAGAGTAGTGTACAGGCGCAGAGCCTTGGTTGGAGTAAGGACCGGAAGTGAAAGCGTAAGGAGCGGACTTGGTGCTGGCCATTCTCTTTTGCACTGACAACCGAAACGTAACCGTTGCCCTCTCAAGCAGGGGCGCGCTTATGTAAGCCTCTTGTGCCCCTTTTGGCCTGGTGGCGGTGGTTCCCCTCTCTTTACTGCGCTTGGCAAAGCTTTTCTACGCCAATCTGCAATCTATGACCGCAGCGGCTTATACATAGGCTTTTGAAAAAATATACGATTGGCGAGTACGACTGGCGAGCACGCAGTCGCTGTGTATACACGCAGGAAATACTCCAAAGAGGGCTTGAAAAGGGGTGACAGCGCCAGGGACATGCACGCACTCACCGTAAGCGCCTTGGCCCTGACCCCAGACGTCGACCGGGGATTGCATCATGCTGCATGGCCAACGGCGGTGGCGGGAGATGCATCCGCCACTGTCTGCACGTCCGACATAGGCACATCATTGCCGTCAGTCGCAGTAGCAGTCGCAGCCGCCGCACCCGAGCCCTCCGCAGTGTCCTTCTCATCCAGCCCAGCGCCCTCCAGCAGCGCAAGTATACCACCTACCGAACCTACAGCGCCTGGCCGGCCGAGCTCTTGAACGGCTTTTTCGACCCTTGTCAGACCTGTCCGATCACCGCCTTCACCGCCGACTTCCAGCCCCTCCTCGGCGGCCATTTGATCGATCTTCTTCAGTCGCGCAAGAATAGCAGTGTTTGCTCGCTGGATTGCCATTTGACCTCGTGTTGAATCGTAATTCGGCATACCATGAGGATTATCTACCCGAGGGACCAGCGTATCCATTAGGTAGTACTTGTAGGACCGATAGTTGTTCAACGAAGCAGTAGGTTGGCCCGTGATCAACACATGCGTTGTGGGTTGCTGTGTGGCCTCAGGATCCTGGCTCTGCTGTCCAGGAGGCGGCCAAGCACTCTTGTCCAGCCATCTGTCCAGAGCAAGTAGGGCGTCCTTGGATTTCCGCATACGCTCCCTCTTCGATGGTCGGCCTTTCTTCTTCGGAAGGGGCGCTTCTGGTACCGGAGTAGACGGGCCCGATCTTCCTCCTGTCTCAGCGCTCGCTGCCCGAGAGACGTGCTCGTAACTTGCGGCAGGTATGTCGTCGTGAATGAAGATCTCGCGGGGCAAGGTGCAAGGATTGTGAGGGTTAAGATTGGACGAGGGGAGTATGTGGAAGACCTTGGCGTCGAGCAGCGTCGAGAGTACATACGTAACGTGAGGCCCAAGGGTGGCAAGATGTGGTTCAGATAGCGAAGCGGGTAACGCTGTAAGAGTCTCATAGACATCTTGGGACGATCATCAGGATGTACACTCGAGTAATCACGAACAGCGTACCACTCGCAATGGGGATATGCTCGATGGGGTGTAGAGACGGAGTAGATGTGGTCGGCTGCGTGAAATAAAATGTGTAGAGGCAAAACAGCGCCGTGACTCTGTTAAGTACAGGCTGTGCCTCGGACATATGCTCTAGGATAAACAGCGTCATTGACTTTGCATTTGACCGGCGAAGTAGTAGACAAACCAAGGAAAAGCCTCGCAGTAACTTGGAGAAACGTATCACGCGTTCGAACATCGAACACTTTGAAGTGAAGCCACGTCCATCCCTGAGAGTTCCATATCTCCTTAAAAAGCGCAAAGGGTTGCGTCGGCCGCGTCTGAAGGTACTGTTCTATGAACAGCCGGATGAGATGCAGGATATCTTCCCGCAGAGGGTTAACGTATAGAGACGATGTAAAAAACGACGGCTGTAGGATTATGGTTCCCCTGCTGACGGAAGGCGACGGAGCGAGGGACATGGTCGTGGATGAGCTGAACTCGGAAGTGTGGCAAGAGTCCACAAATTTGCTATTTTTAGACTGCGATCAAGTCGACGCGTCGGAGGCGCGCTTGTTGGTTCCACACCTATAGGTCCTTGCCCACTGCTCAGCGGTCAGTGCCCAGTGCTCATCGCCTACCGCGGCGTACCCGACGCGTCTCCATCAAGACGCAATGGCTCCTCTATTACGGCGACCGACGAGCGTGACATGCTTCTTCTGCAATTCAGCCATAACGCCGCTCCCACAAAACCCGCGGAATTTCCGCTGCCCGCACTGCACATGCTGGAACCGATATGATGCGCACGGCGAGATCATGTCAGATGAGCCCGCCATGCATGACGAGACGTTGAACAAGAAGTCATTTTCCAAGAGAGGTACGGCTTCCTGCAATGTCGTATCACTAGACTTAGTTCTCTAACTGTGCCCTAGCTTCTCCGAGTAAGGAGCGCTTCCTCAGTGTTTATACCAAGACACCGTTTTGTCATGCATGCACCACAAACCAGATGCTTCTTACCAACCTCCTGGCCAACTATTTGCCCCCTGCCAGCGTGCGTCCTTCCCATGACCCCACCCTCATGTCCTCACGTCTGCTTGCAGTCTCCCGAGTACGAACATAGACTCCGAATGCTCCCAGAGTACAAGCAATCCCTATACGCGCGCTACCCACCTGTCTGCTCAAACTGTGCTCCGGCAGTTGAAGAGGAAATCAAGAATAAGGAAGCCATGGCTCGGACAAGTGCCCTGGGGGGATGGCTGAAAGAGAGTAAGGGGAAAGGAAAGCAGAGACAGACGTCTGCTCTCCCGGACGAAGCAGTGAAGATGAAGAGACAGCTTACCTGGTGGCAGATCAGAGGATGCCTCTGGGTGGTCACCCTGTGCTCCGCGATAGCCGGAAATCTTGTTGGTATGTCCTACGGAAATGTACACTGTGCTCTCTCAGATCATTCTGGATTCTAGGTGCACTCGGGCAGGGCTTTCCCGCAGGCTTAGAGCCTATGAAGCCTGCATTACCTCTGTTAGGACTTCTATCCCTGCTATGGACAGCTTGGGATCCCACATATCGGACTGTGCGCACTGCCGAAAGACAAGGACGTTCCGTTCGTGTTCAGGGCAAGCGTCAATATAATGTAAGGACTTGATCCTCTCATTACAGTATATTCTGCATGCATGTTGACTCCTCTGTTCAGGTCCTGCAAATGACTGCTTATTTATTCCGATTATTGACTTATATAGTGCTTGCGACGTCCTGGTACCGGCCATCTCTAGATTACTTACACTTGCGCGATCCATCTTCCGCGCGAAGCCGAACGTATTTCACGGCCATGCTCATCCTCGAAGTGACGGTAACCATTCGCAAAATGTTCCTTGATTGTCACTAAACATTAGTTTACTAGATATTTGTTTGCTCTTTAGCCGTCCTGCGGCTACATCAGCCAGCTGCCATTCGTCTAATCGACACGCATTCGCATAATCGCTCTCTCACCCCGCAACCGCGCCCTGAATCTCTGCCCTCCCTTCCTCCACACTCAACAGCCCTTGCTCCAGCCCAGCCGCCGGCTGACTCCGACCTCCTCGCCTCCCTTTCACTTTCATCCAAACCCGTTCTACCCCCACCTCAGCCTGCTCAGAATCCGGTCTTCGGCTTGCCTTCCCTTATCAATAATGGTCATAGCGCAAGGCCCTCTACTCCACCACCTCGCGAGCTCGAGGACGAGGACGCAATGGACTGGACTCCAACCGATCCCTCAGGTCCTCGTCCTCCACAGAGGAAGAGGCACGCCAACGATGACGATGGCAGTTGGCTGAGACCCCAGCGCTTCTTCCCGCCCGAACAGCCTACGGGGCTTGAAAGCTTGTTTCCGCGGATACAGCTCATCGATGATTCTTCGCAGTCGATGCGATACAATGGCGGGGGAAGACCCGCCCTACCAGCAAGGTATTGGCGATGGGCCCTTGCGTTGGCTGCTTTGGCAGTTATGGCAGGGGTAGGATACAGAGCGTGGTCTGGCATGCGCATGAGAGAGGGGCCCGTTTATGGCTCACAAGCACGACCGATCCCTGCGCCGTTCGAGATGTCTCTCGACTGATATGTCTGCATTGGTCAGGCTCGCAGTGCCTGCTGTAATGTTGCCGTCTGATATTACGACCGTCTTGATTGGCAGAGCATAAGCAATCCCCTGGGCACTCATCTCGTTGATTGTATCGCCGTAATTGCTCATCACCAACAGCTTCTATGCAATATCTCGAGCTCGGGGCCATAGAGGTGGAAGTGCTAGCATCCACGCCAAGCTTCATGCAGGGCGAAGAGACTGTTACCCACGATGGGGTATAATGCCAATGTGATACTGTGGCATTTAAAATAGTTATAACCACAGCCATAACACTGGAGGACCATGGCAGAGAACCAAGAGGCGGAAGATAATGATACAGTCTAAGTGTAGCACATGTGTAACATATAGTTCATATTAACCGGCAAACGAACTACAGGTAGTAAGGTCACGGGTATATTGCATGGACAATCGACAATCGTCTAAGCACATACACAATGACACCAGGAGAAGGCTGAGATAGTGACAAGCGTCCAGCGTCAGGGGATGTAAATGATAGATACGTAAGAATAAACAAGAAACGAACACTGTCGGTGGTAAAGAACGTAGACCCATCAGGTTCTCCAAGAGCCAACATCAAACCTCCCAACGAGCGAACAAGACGAAAGTGGATGCGCGTCAAATTACTGCGTCGCCATATCGTATAACCTCATCGCGTCCCACTTAATACCTGGGACCGGCACCAGCGCCATTGTAGTCGTAGGCATCCTGATAGCCGCCCTGGTGGTGAATGGGGACACCGTAGTCGTAATTACCCCTGGTCAGACTAGGACCGCGAGCTAATTCTTGCATGGGGGGCTGAGGGCTGGGGCCACGAGCAAGATCGGCATATCCGCCGCCAGGCACGACGGCCGTGAAGTCGTGGTCAGGGATGGGCTGGAGACTGCTGCCGTGACCATGGTCGGAGGTAGCTCCGTACCCTCCGCCCATTCCACGGCCGGCCATGTTACTTTCGTCACCATGACCGCCGGACTGGAAGGAGCCATGCGAGGCGTTTGACATGGCGCGATGATGACCCGGAAGACCGTTCTCGGTGGTCTCAGTGGGCTGCCAGTCGATGGGCTGCATACGATCCTCGAACTCAGCGGAGGGCCTGAACTTCCACTTGCGGATGACCGTCCAAATGATGGCAGTCCCACCGATGCAAGCTGCAATGACAGCAAGGACAGTGATTGTCGTCTTTGTTACCTTGGACGCGCTGCCGGAAGGGGTAGTAGTCCCAGAATCGGTAGCGGATGCGGCGGCGACTACGGTACTGGTGCGGGTTCCCTTATTAACGGGGGTATTCATAGTGGTACCCGCGGGAGCGGAGGTTGTGAAAGCGATTGTATCGGCTGCCGTAGTCGTGGCCGAAGTTTGGGTAGAAGACGATGAAGTCGTCGACGAGCTGGTGCTCGAGCTAGAGCTGCTCAAGGAAGTGCTGGAGCTGCTGCTCAAGGTGCTGCTGGAGGTCTGCATGAAATACACTAGGTCAACGTCCAGTCATAAACATTTGGGAATTTCAACGCACTAAAGAGCTCGTCGAGACCGAAGTCGAAGTCGAGCTGCTTGTAGACGCGGTAGTCGCGGACGTGGTCGTCTCGGAACTAGTAGTCGTGGCGCGGGAAGTGGTTCCAGTGCCCGTCGTCGTAGCAGTTCCAGCGCCAGCCGTTGTGGTCCCAGTGCCAGTTGCAGTATCCGAAATCTGATCGGGGTTGCTGCCAGCACCTACGACCGGGATGAGCGGGGGCGGAGCACGCTTTTTGAGCATGCGATTGAGGTCTACATGGTCACGACGCTGAGGGACTGGAGCGTAGCCTTTCGCATCTGAAAGAGCGGAGAGGGCGAGAACGAGAGCGACGTAGGTAAAGAGCGTGAGGGTAAGCTTTCGCGGCTTTGTCGAGAACATGATGGTTGGTGGGAAAGACGGTGAGGCGGAGACTGACGGCGGCTGACGGGCCTTAAAGACTGCCTGGGGGCTGCCAGCAACGACAATAGTCAAAATTCGAACGATAACAGAACAACGACCCAAACTGCAGGGACACGAACCGGCCGTGTAAGGAGGGGGGGAAAGATGAACAATATGTTATAGCAGTCGAAAGATGGGTATAACAGGGGTAAACAGAAACCCGCAAACGTGAAGGGTGAAGACCAGGGTACACGAATTGAACTCACAATTTACGAGCCTGCTGCGTCTACCTCTCTGCTGCTTCCTTGCGTGTCGTATGAACAGAGCTGTTCGGCCAAGACGCGGTTTTGTCGTTTTCAGGGAGAGAATGGAACGGCCCTTTCAATGCTGGGACTGCCGCATTTGGCACGTCAGTATGCTCGCTGTCAAGGTAACCATCCCATCACTACCCCATAATGGCTTCATGTCCCCTATCATTCACAGCTATGAACGACCACTGGATGGTATCGACACTGCCTGTTCGTTGTAACGGTCTCCGCATGATATTTGCAGTCCAAGAGAAGTGAAAGAAACGACGACCACACACCAGCTACATACACATGTCACGGTTCATTAGGTGAGACCAAAAGTACTAATGAAAATAGTGGAATACAAAAGGTAAAAGAGTCCTTTACAAGGCTCTGGATATCAGAAGAGTTCAGTTGTGACTCGTAAGGGACCACTGATCTAGAGGGACGCTCGGTGGGGACACAAAGTCACTGGACTGCATCCCGGGCCACTGTGGATTGAACAGGAGCTCCAGAGTGTACGAGCCCGCATCCAAGTTGATCGTCAACACGGTAACGCCAGGGTTTTCCTGATCCGGCTCAGGCGGCGTGGGGTCGGTGTCCAAACGGACGGCTTGCATAGTTGAGAACGAGGCGCCGGAAGGCGGGTTCAGCATCGATATTTGCAAGGTCTCGTCACCGAGCTTGAGCGTGGCCGTCGTACCGTCCGTGGTGACGGTCGCGTTCGTGTGCATCCGCCACTGGATGGAGGCTTGGGCGTTGATCTCATCTTGGATGAGAACCTGCTTCCTGGCATTGAGGGTGCGGACACCACGTTTGAAGGACGTACTACATGGAAGACGTGAGCAGAGCATGCTAATCACTGAAGAGCGACTTCCTTACACATTGAAATACGCGCTGGTTAAATCTGCAGTCCAATAGGCGGTTGAGTCACTAGGAACTTCGTAAACCGTGCTAGACCCCTGCCTCTCGCCCGTGGAACCGTGCTGGACGGTCGGCGCGGCGGTAACGTCTTGGTTCTGAGCACCAACCAGGATAGTATTCTGGCCTTCGGTACGTTTACGGTAGTAGAGCCACCGCTGACTATCTTGCGCATCACTGCTGAAGTAACCCGGGGATCTGTAGTTACCGGAACCTAATTCTCCAGCCCAACGGTGTCCCAGAGCGTCCAACACGAAGTCACCACAGTCCAAGTCGTTGTGCGTCTGATGACCCTGCAATTTGCCGGCCTTCATGGCAACGAACAGAGCATTCTCGTCCGTGAAGCTACTCCTCATCGAGGCCCATTGGTCCAAGGGATCATCGAAGAAGTGATCGAGCTCCATACCATCCCAGAATGCTCCGGCGACCTCAGGGTTGTACCAGAACATGGTCCATGGCTCCGCAGCGTCATGCTGGTCGCGTTGGAACAGCATGTACTCTGGATGGTCGAACTGATCAGCGTAGAAGATGATAGAGTTGGCGGTGCTGGAGTACTTGTTGGGACCATGGTCACCCCAGTCGAACAGCGTGCCGGGGCCGGTCACATACATATGGAACATGCCAGTCATAGAGAAGTTCGCGTTAGTCTTGAGAAGACCGAAGTCGTCGCCAGCAGCGGTGATCAGAGAGGAAGCCATCTCAGCATGAGCTGTAGTGCCGAAGTACCAATAATTCGCGGTCTCCGTCCATGTGCCGTCAGACGTCACACCGTACACGCAATTCTCGTTCGCGTTAGGGATAGTGAGACCCAAGAGCTGCTCAGCGATACCGCTGGTGTCATCACCAAGAATCGCGAGAGCAGCCATAGTAAGACCGTTGTTGCAGACACAGTTCCAGTTCCCTTGGGTGTTGTTCTTCCACCAACCCCAATAATTAGGATCGTTGGTAAGAGCGGTGACGCCAGGATTCAGACCATACTCGATCATGGTGGAAATGATCGAGCTCTTTTGATCAGCCGACCATTGATCATACAGCCAATCATACGCGATACCATAGGCTGCGACCATCTCTGCAGTGTCAAGGAAGTGGGCAGGGTTCCATCGCGTGTCGTTGTCAGGGCCGAACGATTGCGTTCCATTGCCGGCAGCATTCTGAAAAACAATCAGACAATGGGTATTGCTGCGGGACACGACAACCTACCTGGAGCTCAGCCCAAACCCTGTCAACCCATTTTGTGTCGTTCGTCATGCGATAAACGTATGAGAATGCCTTGACACGCTCCTTAACCTGACGAGCATTGTCAAGGATACCACTGTCGCCATCCATGAAATATTGGACAACGGGCTGCGAATAGTAATCCGACGCATTGCCGAAGATGGTAGCATTCCAATTTGCCATATAGACGTCGTTCTTGATCAGGTCAGGGAGGGCTGCCCATTTGTAAGAGGGCGCGATGAGACGCGGGCGATCGGGGCGGACGGAAGTTGGCGCGGGGTTAGATGGCTGGAAGGAGTCGGATGGCCATGCTTTGACGGCATTGGATTGGGGGATGAACGTCGGCGAAGTGAAAGCCGCCGAGTTGGTCTGGCGACCAAAGAATGTATGGGTTAGCAACGGCTTAGCTCGTGTCGAGAGAACGAAACATACAGTTGAAGGATATAAGGGCATCATGTACTGGCTATTGGTGCCAGTGGGGTAGATACCAATGGCGCTCTTGGCAGAGGCGGCTGAGCTGGCGGCAGCCTGTGAGGACACTGCCTCAGCCGCTGAGGTGTGGTGGCGCGAGCCGACTACACCGCCGACTACAGCGGCGATGATAACAACGATAGCAACAGGAACACCAAACTTAATCCAGTTGCTGGCGCCTTTGCGCTGGCGTTGCGAAGTGAGGAAGCCAGTGGACTCTGAATAGTATGGATCACCGGAACCATAGGGAGAATTGTGAGGTTTGAAAGGAGTCTCAGACATCGGGGTGCCTGCAGCAGACTGCATGGTGTCTGCCCGGCCAGAAGAAAGAGAAAAGGTTAAAGAGAGACGACAGTGGGACGAGCAAAGGCGGGCTTATACAGAGACAGGGAGGCGGGAAAGGTTAGGGTGATGTTTTGGTGACGGGCGAACAACGCCTTCGAGACGGCATGAGTATTTCTATATACCCACGACCAGCTCGGCACCCCGGCCTGACCCCGGCTACCCTATTATTAGCGCTCCGAACTGTTCGTTCGCCTTCCCCTCACCGCACGACAGCGTCTCATTTTTAGAGCCTACAAAAATATCTTTGCAACACTCGTTCATAGGCCTGAGGTCTCGTAATATAGTACATCATGGAAAGCACGAACTCCAGCACGACTAGAAGCAATTCTCAGCCTCAGTCTCGGACGAAGACAGCGGCAGCGCCCATCCCTGTCCCGATGCACATGGACGTGACCAGAACCTGTCATGAAATTACCCTAGCAGGCGAGAAAAGGCCGAGATGTGGAACTTGCCTTGCCTTGCCTGCGATGCAGTTCATTCAAGCCCGTTGCGACTTGACGGGCACCTGTACAGCGTATACGATACCCAGGAACGTCGTCAGTGCCAACTACGATGATCACGAGAGGAAGTCACATATCCAAAGGATGTCCCAATGCGATTGCCCCTCCATTGACGTTGACTTTACCTATATCAAGTTCCAGCTTGCGAACGCAGTACACGTACATCGAGGCGAACGCTTCATTGATCTGTACGGGGTACTACGTCGAGAACCATCCTTCGAGTAGCGATAGACAGCACGCACCTCAAACAAGTCTACATCATCCTTGGTTATTCCTGCCCGCTCTAAGGCCATTGGGATGGCATATGTCGGTCCGATTCCCATCACACGTGGAGCAAGTCCTGCAGTATATGAGTCAGCTTGTGTATCACCGGGAAGATATACGAGACCATATTTAACTTACCTGCCACAGACGTCGTGACATGCTTGGCCAGGATTGGCAATCCAAGCTCTTCCGCTTTCCGCCTGGACATGAGCATGACGGCGGCAGCACCGTCTGTGATTTGGCTGGCATTGCCACCGGTAGTCTGAGAAGGCGGCCATTGCGGGAATGCCGGTTTAACCTTCCCGAGAGTTGCTTTCGTGGTGCCGTACCGGATACCGTCGTCTTTCGTTACTTGAACTTTTGTACGTCCGCCGGTGACAGGGTCCTTGGTAGGCACGTCGAATGGGACGATCTCCTTATCGAAATATCCTGCCTTCTGCGCGGCCTCAGCGCGCTGGAAAGATATAGCAGCGAACTCGTCCATCTCGTCCCGCGAAATCTTGAAATCACCGGCTACATTCTCGCTAGTCCAGCCCATGGGTTTTGTAGCGTCATTGGCTGCGGGATTGCTCATAATTTCTTCGTTCAGCGCCGGCGCTCCATTGTCGGGGCTAGCACAGTCGAGTGTACGGTGAAACTTGTGCGGTTGAAAATAGAATTGTGACGCACTTTGCGGACATGCTATCAACACCAACTGCTAAGCCAATGTCAATCTGTCCGGCCCTGATTTGGTTCGAGATGATGGTAACGGCCATTAATCCACTCGAACAGAAACGGTTGACTGTCTGCACAGGGACGGATTCCGGAATGCCGGCCGCTATGGCAGCAGTTCGAGCTTCATAGGTTGGAGAGGGTGAGAGGACGGTTCCAACGCAGATGTCGCCAATGAGGGACGGGTCGACCTTCGAGGTTGAGACAGCTTTCTGGGTCCAAGTAGGGCGTCAGGAGGTGACAAAACTTGGAGGAACTCATATCTCACCCTGAACATCTCAGTCAAGAGTTCATCGCTCCTGCGAAGACATGTCTAAGCATGTTATGAAGTCAGGACGTGAAACCAGACCCACTTGACATCCTTGAAGCCCCCCTTCCTGGCCTTACACAACGGCGAGCGGACAGCCATTGTAATGACAACATCGTCTGGACTCTTCCTCTCCAACGCAGCAACGCCCTTGGAAGAACCTGAGAGCTGCGATGCAAACTGTTTGACGCGTTCCATGTCTGCCTAGTGTATGTCAAGCTCAAGCTGGAGGGGGGTTGGGAGTGATAACCCTCGCGGACGCCCACGAGTGCGATTATAACTACGCAGGAAAGAATAGCCTAACATCGGGCAACACCTTCACCGAGTACCTGACGGACCATTTGTCTCGTGATGGACAGTGCAATCAAAGGAGTTCATGGTGTCCATTACGGCCAACCCATGTGATAGACGTGTCCGGGGCCCCAGATTGAGAGACTTGGCATTTCTAAAACACTGAGCTGAGCTCTTGCTGCAGCCTTTTTGAGGTATACTATTACAGTGCTTTGCATAAAAGTCCGGAAACTGCGTTTCGCGCGTTTCTGTTTGTCCCAGCCAAACAATACCTTATAGGGTAAGACCTGACCGAGGGCGCGACGGTCCTCGAGTCAGCCTATATCATCCTGGGACACAAATGCCCGTCTCAAGGCTGAATAACGTTCAGATCTGTATCTCTTCAGGATGTCGAGCACGCAGAGGTCAAAATCCCCCAAGAACGACCCTCATACATGGATGTCGAAGCGTCCCGCCAACCAGTCAACAGCCCGCGCTACGGTGATCGACTACCCCATATAGGTTTGTTTGGCTGGCACAAACAACATTTCGCGAATCGCGGTTTCCGGACTTTTATGCAAAGCACTGTAGTCCTGCGCCTGCACAACTATTGACAGAACTTGAGCACAATTGTCTGTGTGTTCTTCCAGACATTCGTCACCAGTCGGCATTCGTTATATGTAGGGAGCTGCGGAAATTTGAAGCATCTGTACTTCGACCATCTTGGCCGCCCTGGCTCTGTGTCTTCGAGTAGGACGCGCATCTAGCGTAAAACGATATCGAAAGCTTCCAACACTGGTCATTTCTCCAGGACGTACACAGACAATGTCTGTCACAGGCCCATCAGCCAATCGTGCCGCGGAAGAAGTGCCAGGCAGGTTCAGATTCATAGGTGCGCAGGATCCGAACATCTCCCTCATAGTCGAGGCATTCAGCATGCGTAGACATCGGTGGTACGAATTACGCCCGAAGATGAATATACGATATCTGAGGGACAATCCCATCACGCAGTGAATCTCACAGATCCAGTTTTCCGGGGCATGTACAGAGGAAAACGAAAGCACGATGGTTTGCGTCCCCGTCTACTATATTCTGCACTACATTATATCATTTCTATCAGACGACTTGTATGCGGTTCTCGAGCGATCTCGTGCTGCTGGTGTTAAATCCATGATCATCACAGGCGGGAGCCTCCATGAGTCAAGAGAAGCCCTGGAACTAGCCAAGCAACTAGGTGCGTATCCGACCAGCGATGCGTGCCTACTGCTTATATTTCCATAGGGCTATATGCTACGGTTGGATGCCACCCAACTCGCTCCAAAGAATTTGATACGTTTAAGGGTGGCCCGGACGCATACCTGAATGCACTAGATAAACTGATCGAAGATAATCTGAAGGGGAAGGGCAGGGTAGTGGCCGTTGGGGAGTGCGGCCTAGGTAAGTCTCAGGTGTTGTCGTAAGCACGCCCTTCTTGAGCCGTACTTCCTGCAGACTACGATCGGACTCACTTCGCGCCCGAAGAGGTTCAGAAGAAATATTTTCGTGAGGATATAGTCCTTAGCGTGATGAATCCTTCATAAAGGGACCAGGCGTACAGCTTTCCCTCGCAAAGAAACATCACCTGCCGCTGTTCCTGCATTCTCGTGCTGCCCACCCCGATTTCGTACAAATTCTCCGGGAGGAAGGGTTCGGCGATGACGGTGGAAGGCCCGTGGGTGCCAGAGGGGGGGTCGTCCATAGCTTCACTGGATCCGTAGCGGAGGCTGAAGAATATGTGAGCGTGAGATGTAGTTCTTACCCTATGTCTCCTCTCTGACTGGCTCAGATGTCAATGGGGTTTCACATAAGGTATTTGACAAGAGTGAACCTAAGTATCCTATTTGTCGACCGCCCCTCTAGTGTCAACGGCTGTTCTTTGAAGACGGAAGATAATCTTATTGCTTGCAAGGCTATTCGACCCGACAAGATCATGGTCGAGACAGGCAAGGCGAATCGCTAATTCTGACACCTGTGCTATCTCACGAAAAGCTGTAGATGCGCCATGGTGTTCTATGACGTCCACTCATGCGTCGAAGAAGCACCTAGATGCGTTACCAACCGAGTTGCGGGGCCTCTACTTTTCCAGCGCCGTACAGCCAGAGAAATTCGTCCAGGGGAAATCAGTGAAAGGCAGAAATGAGCCTGCTGCTATAGGCGGGGTCGCCTGGGTCGTCAGCCGGCTCAATGAAGGTACCGACTTCGAGGCAGTCGCCGAGAAGGCGTGGAGAAATACCATTCAGTTGTTTGGTTTAGAGGAGTTATGTGACACCCAAATCTAAGATTCGGGACGTTGTGGTGGACAGCAGACAGACTGTAACTCATGATATGTACACACCTGCCTGGTACTTAGTGCCATTGGAGAGCCTGCTTCCAGAATCCGCGGGATCTTGATCTCCGAGTCCGCGACAACACGGATCAACTGCACTGCATCGCATTCGGGCCCGGGGACGATGTTGTCTTCCAGCAATCGGCGAAACGATAGAGAACTTTCAGAAGGGCTGCTCAATTCTTAACTACCTCCCGTCGTTCGTTCGTTCGTTCAATCCGTCGTGCTAAAAATAATGAGAAAGAAGAGATGGCCGAGCCACGCCGGTGGCAAGCTGACATGGACGTGGTCTCGAATCATCAGCCATCACTTCTTTCTCGCTCTTTTGGGCGCGATTGAACGAACGACGGCTTGAACGACGGGAGCCAGTTGAGAATTGAGCAGCCCTAGAATTTTTCGCGCAGGCAGCCGAGCCCGGAAAGGTAATTATACCCACTCGGGTCCACAGTGCACCACGACTCACCACTCTTGTTTTGATCATTAGCGGAGCAAAATTGGTGATACCCTACTCCAATAAGTAAGCCGTGGAGCGGCTGCTGAGTGCGGAAAATCTCAAACTTCTCTATCGTTTCGCCGATTGCTGTCAACGATAATCTGTCACGACAAGCCTGAGGCTCGTGCGGGTGATGAGCTCGGACGCGCTCGTAGACTCAACTCCTAAGAGGCACACAGCGTACCTTGTGTTGAGTGCTGTTGGTATAGGATGGTATCTAGTTTTATGGTCGCTGGGATTGCTAGGTTGTAGGACCGCGTACGTTCGACGCTCCACCTCTCACGCGGCCCAGCTAAAGTGATTGCATTATCTAGGAGGCGACGATATAGGCTTCGCCCTCGTTCGCCGCTCGCGTCAGCACCCGCCGCATCCGTACCTGGTGTGTCCATTTTGCGACCCCTGAAGGGTCTCGATACGAACCTGTACGAGAACTTGGAATCCACTTTCACTCAAGAATATCCCAACTACGAAATCATTCTGTCCGTAGCAGATGAACATGACCAAGCGCTGCCTGTGGTGAGGGACCTGTTGGCCAAGTATCCGAACAGGAATGCCAGGGTGATCGTAGGTTCGTGAGATTGTCTACTACGTTGCTGGAGTAGACATGACCAGATTGTTCCATAGGTGAAGAAGTTGTTGGCGTCAACCCGAAAGTCAACAATCTCATACGACCATACCGTCAAGCAGCTAATGATATACTTTGGGTACTGGACTCAAACATAATGGTAGCTCCGGGCACACTGGCCCGATCCGTGGACGCCCTCATTGGACCCCCCTCTTCCTCCTCCATATCGCCCCCAAGTCGACGAATCGGTCTTGTACATCACGTACCGTTCGCCTTCGCTACCGAGCCGGCCCTTGGTGCGAGACTGGAGGAGGCCTTCCTAAACACGAATCACGCGAAGATGTACTTGGCGATTAACACGGTTGCAGTCGACTCTTGCGTCGTCGGAAAGTCAAACTTGTACCGCCGATCTGATGTCGAGCGTGTCAACGGATCCCTGAAGCCAATCTCTCCCTCTCTATCCGCCGACGGAGATGCTGACCCTTCGGAGGATCGTGGACTTGCAGCGTTCGGTCGTTTCCTGGCCGAGGATAATATGATAGCCAGCGCTCTATGGCACGAATTAGATGTCAGACACGACTTGTCTTGTGACGTCGCTCGTAACGCCATCGGGAGAATGTCCCTTTCTGATTACGTTTGGCGGCGAGTGCGTTGGATCCGAGTCCGCAAGCATATGGTCTTAGCTGCGACCCTTATTGAACCTTTTACGGAGTCGGTCGTCGTCGGTCTACTCACCTCTACCAGCCTTCACTACCTTTTCCACGTCCCAAGGTGGCTATTTCTCGGCTGTCATTTCGCTACATGGTTGGCCGTGGATCTGGACGTGTATGCATCCCTAGCGGGCCATCCAGTCCCGGATTCGTCAAGATGGACATTCGTGGGTGCCTGGCTGATGCGGGAGGTATTAGCGCTACCTATATGGACGCTGGGTATGCTAGGAAATGAAGTTGATTGGAGAGGGCGAAGATATCGTGTGTTGCAGAACGGGGCAGTGGAACACGCCCAAGGTAGTGAAGGGCGTTTTAGTTGGATTCCTTGGTTTGGTAAAAGCAATGAAGCTCGAGGCTATCATCCACTGAGCGCCGTGGACGCACAATAATTGTAAATACATGTACTAATACATGGGTCGGATGATCTGATTCTTAGTAGTCCGTTAGGGTCCTGCGATGCTTCAAGCTTCAAGACCCGCCTTCGAAGTTCACCTCCACATATGATCGGCTAAAAATAGCAACCATATAGGAGGCACGTGGAATAGAACTGAGGACAGTGCACTGTACACAAGTGTACACAGTACAGTAGTCCTGAAGCTGGTACTTACCTCCCATGGCCGACAATGATGTCGTACGCGAGAGGATCATATCATCGGTCTTTGCTAGGCGAAATGCTGCCGGTACTGGCCCAGAAGAGACCTACGTCGGTCATCTAAGGGTCCTGGAGGATGCTGAGGATGGATCGAGGAAGCCAAGATACATCATTCTCTCGCGTATGTCCCGTAACCTCGCATACCCGCTGAGCCCAGTATCGATTTAGTCTGTGCAGAGGCAAGCAATGGGACTGGCTTTATACACAAGTCAAAGCTAAATACCAATGGGTCGTTCTCGGTGGGGAAGACATGGAAAGTTGCAGAGCTACGGGCCATCGAAGTCCTGAGCGTACGTGCTAAGCACATTTTTTGCCTCTGTGGTACGAACCTTGATTCTGGCCACACGTAGCCGTCCGCTTTCAACATCACTTTGGCCAGGACATACCGTTGGGAAACTGAGAATGCAAACGACCAAGCTAACTTCCTGGCAGCCTTGGTCAGGCTTTTCCGTGCCGTGACAGCAGGTTCTGCACCGTTAGACCTTATAGGCTTGAGTGATCTTGATGTTCCATGTATGTCTAACAGTCCTAACCCGAATATATGGCCATTCTGAGACACTCTGCGCAGCCAGTGGAAGGCAGCCCGTGAGGAGTGACTACATGCGAAGCAATCGAAGCCCTACGCCGACGAATGCCAATGGTCCCTTCGCGCCTACACCGAGCCGTAGGGCGCTGAATTCCCGCTCTGCATCAGGCTCGCAAGACATAGTCGACCCAGTGCCCCGCATCGGTTCACCAGAGTCTCGGTCCCAGTCGCGAGCCCGTCGCCCATCACCCCTGCCGTCACGAGCAGCAACTCCCGACAACACGCCTGGTCTTCCAATGTCCCCCAATCGAGGGATGCCGTCGTCACCACCTCGTTCACAAACACCGAATAGCATGCGATCCAGAACGCGAAGGCCGTCCAACGCCACGAGAACGTCTGATTCAACAGTAACCCAACTTCCATCCATTAGTCTTCCAACGACACAGACTTCCCTTCGATCTCAAATGAGCAAGCCGTTTATGAAGACTGCAAGTGATAGCAACCCAGATCTCAGATTTTTGTCGTCGCGACCATCCCTGGAAGTTCCTTCATCTACATCCTCCTCATTGAATCCTCCTTCACCCGTGTCCTCATACGGAGGTAATATAGAAGCTTCATCCCTGACTGCCGGGTCTACACCGACATTTAGTCGCTCGCGACAGCCCTCTTCTCGCGGGCACAGTCCGATGCCATCCGAACAGAATGGTCAACAGCAGCAGCGCCGTGACCACAATGCGCGAATATCCTTCTTCGACCCGGCCAACCAGGCAGCTCTGGACCGATTATTGTCGGCAGGCGATGCATTACCTGCAGCTTCGCCGTCTCCGCAAGACGGCGTTGCTGATGTCCCCGCGCCACAAGGCGAAGAGGAGACAGCAGAGGCCACCATGGCTAATGTTGAAGAGATGCTCGAGGGCTATGAGTGGGCTAGCGAAGATATCATGGGAAGGCAGAGAGTGAGAAGTGCAGCAGACCAGATAGAGGCCAAGTTATTGAGCGAGTTAACGGCGTTGGAAAATGTCTGTTCTCGATTGATGTCATTTTGGTGGCTCTGCTAATTCTCCCATGTAGGCCAATATTCACTCCTTTATTGAGTCTGATGATAGGGTTGCCGTCGTAATCAAGTATCTCGAGGAAGCTATTGCGGAGCTGGATAGCATGGACACCCTTGTTTCCTCCTACAAGATCCATCTTAATGTATGTTCCTTTTTGAGGTTGACATCGAGGCCTCTCTTCAACTTCCGATATGCTCTAGACCGTCAGCGACGACATCTCCTTCATCCAATCCCAGAATAGAGGTCTTCAGGTTCAAACACAGAACCAGAGGGCCTTATTAGGCGAACTCGAACAACTTTTGGTGACGTAAATTGATACAGACTTCGATTGTATGCCGCTGATCCTTGTACTTGCAGCAAACGGTCCACGTGGACCCAGATTCTCTTATTACCCTCACTCAAGGATCGCTAGAGAAATCAGACAGCATTCAGAGACTAGAAGAAGCTGCTACTGACTTGTACAAGGCTCTACAGGCCGGAAGGGATACCGGTTAGCGTGCTCGTTGTGTCATAGGATTCCAGGGCACTAATGAAACGGATTGATCTTTCAGATATGGCCGCCACTATGGAGCGACTTGACGAGTACAGAACTCATAACGGCCAGTTCTGCAAGCGACTCTTCGATTACTTGTCCATCATGTTTATCGCTCAGGCGAGTGTTTCCTCTGATGAGTCCTACTGGCTGTCTTTGCTCACTTGTCTTCGTAGTCCAAAATGCTGCTTGGTGATACTGACGGCATCTCCAAAAGTAGTAACCGAGGAAGGGGCCGGCCTACTATTGTAAATCATCAAGAGATGGAAACATATCTAGGTCGATACTCGGGCCTGATCCTCTACCTGAAAGAAATGGATGAAAGCACGTACGCCAAATTATGTGCGGTAAGGAGGCCATGTACTACCGGCTTGTATGCCGCATATATTGACTAAAAGTACTAGACCTACTTCTCGGCTTCGAGTGATTTGCATAGCAAACAGGTCAGGGCTTGCTTACAGGCTTATCAGAATATGGTTAAGAAGGCGGCAGAAGAAGAGCAGGATCAAAGTCAGTCGCTTGAGGTATTCGTGGTGCTATGTGCTGATCGGGGAAGTGACAGCCTTCGGTGGAGTCACACCAATTGCAGGTGGATTCCGAGCGGGGACGGGTATGCGCCGTGCCGGCACAATTGTCCGTTCCCCATTAGAGAACAGAAGGGACAAGGATAAGCCTGTAGAATCTGACATGCGTGCTTCTGAGGTGTGAATAATCTTCACGTTCCAATCGCACTACTAATGCCCATCTGCAGGCCTTTGGGCAAGTACTAGAACAGATCGCTCCTCAGATCTACCGCGAAGAGGACTTCATCGCTGATTTTCTGCAAATCAACGATGCCGCGCTCACGTTTGCGGACTACATGGGCTTAGAGAACTACTTCAGGAGGCAGGCAGCGCGGTACGCCGGGTTAAGTCAACCGACCATGAAGCTTGTGCGAGGAGCACTAGACCTCATATTTGGGTTCCTGCCTACCGAATTAAAGACATGGATTGACACCGCTCTGGCTAAGGATAATATGTAAGGCTGTTTGGTCCTGGATATGCAGGTTGATAATTCTTCACTGTATAGGCAAATTATTGGTATCATTGCGTGTCTGGAGCGCTTCCAGGCAGACGCGGAGGAGCGTGGTAACGCATTCCTACTAAACTTATTGGAGAAGCAGCACACACGACTCAAGGGGCTTTTCGACCGTCATGTGGTAATGGCTTCGTTTATCTGTACCTGCGATTGGGCACTCACTCCGCTCTAAGAATGAACAAATTAAGGCGGTGGAGGAAACAAAGATCAACAGCAAGAAACGTCGGGGAGTTGTTCCCTTCATCAAGTACTTCCCGGTCTACGTGGGACGTGTGGAGAATCAGCTTATTGGAGCAGACGCTCTCGAGATCAGGGGCAACGTTGACCTGGCGTATGAGAAGATTGTGCAGGTCATGTTCGATTCCTTGAAACAGATGGCTAAAATGGAAGGAGAAGGAGAAGACAAAGGGCAACTCAACTACCATGTCATATTGATCGGTATGATTCGTCCAACCGTATCGCATGTAGGCGCTAATAGCTTCCCAGAGAACATGCATCATTTCGTAGCTGAAATGGGTCAACTTGAAATTGGCTCTGTCGCCTCTTTCCTGAAGCGAGCGGAATCCATCTACGACGAAAACCTGAACGCTTACGTTAGAATGATTCTGAGACGGCCTCTCGCAAAGATCATCGTAAGCTGCACGAAAAGTCCGAATTCGCGATGATCCTCAATAAATTGCCACGCAGGACTACTTTGAAGGGATCGAACGGCTGCTTCAAACGACTGCTCCTACAGAGGTCTCCAACAATAGCAGCTACAACAAGTCCGCCCTCAAGAAAGTTGTAAAGGACTATAATGCCAAGGATATGCGCAAGCACATAGATGCTCTTTACAGCCGCGTCGAGAAGCACTTTACGGAGGCTTCAGAGAAGGCGACGACTGAGAAGAGCACAGGCATCGCCCCTGGCACTGTTATGGTCGGCGTGTGGAAGGCATGCGAAGAGGAGGTTTTGCGACTAACGGAGGCGTTCTCCAAGCGGATAGCACAGTGTTACGCGGACAGTGGCGTCACACTTGAATACTCAGCCGCGGATGTAGAGACAGCATTCCGACGTCACAGAGTGGGTAGCTAGGTGCAGCTTCACATTTGTGTATATCGTCATTGTTTTATGTACTTCTACGCACGGGTGTGTACTGGCAGGATCTGGGTAGCGCTTACGCTACGGATATACCAATGGAGTGTGTCTTCCCCTTTCAAGTTCGAGCGGGACGGGTTTCCAACGGGGCGTCAACTTTTACTTCTGGAGTTGCAGGGGCCCGCGGAGGAGTGCCTGGCATTGCCGCGGCAGCGGCAGGCTCCGCAGAACGCCCGTTTGCTTGGCTTGCTCCCGGTGCTTGACCTGCGCTCCGTTGAAGTGCTCCCATGATAGTTGGACCGAACGTATTCCAAAGCGCCCCGACTGATGCGAGTGGATTCGCGGGGGGTGCGACTCCGTTCTGTTCACCTGCGGGTTTCTGATCCACGGCGGGAGTCTTACTGAGGATGCTCCAAAGAAGTTCCCATAAGGCGGAAAAGCGCTTCTTGAGGAAGGCAAGGGTGTTGGTTTTGGCAGCCTCGATGCCAGCATCTATGTCGGTTTCCTTCGCAGTGAACAACGGTTCAACGTATGTCTTGTACACGTAAGTGGATCCCTGAAAGCAGAAAGCAGAAGGTCAGATGGAATCATGCTCATAGGTTTACTTGCACAGACCTGAGTCTGCGGCAGCGATAAGAAGAGCAGGAACAGCATCTTAATTTCCCAGTAGAAGGGGAACCTGAAGCAATCATTGAGTGGCGTTCCTTTCCACTGAGCAGTTTTCGCATTTACCAGCTGACCAGCCACTCGGCCGCATACTCAACGGTAGTAAACGCGCCGATTACAGACCAGTACATGGCCCATCTTTCCAAGTCCGGCTCGGAAAGTGGGCGATGAGCGAGCGCCTTGAATGTCGAGTAACAAGGCAAGAAGAAGGCGAACCAAGCACTGCAAGTCATGGAGCTCAATATGGGATAGCCTGACAAAAGGTACTTGATAGACAGACCTTATGACATGGCACACGACGAACATCATCTTCGCCACGAACCTTGGATCGAAAAGACTATGGGTACTACGGTTGCTTCGCCACTGCTGTGAAAGCAAACTCTGTAAATAACAACTAAGCCGTAAGTTGAAAGGGTTGCAACATAAAGGCCACCGGACCTCTATTCCAGGCTGGGACGTGGTTACTCGTCAAGATCTCTGAGCACCGTCACAGCATCGCCATAACCAAGAAATATGTTCCTGAATCCGCAGAAGCAGATCCCATCGGGCTATCAGTATCGCCTCGGTTCCGACGGCTTTATTTGTCCTGTGACACCGACAGACCTTGTCCTCATCTGCTACGCGTTGGCTTCGCGGATGGTACAAATGGAGTCGATCATCGTTCGTTGGTGTTGATTCATTCGTTATGCTTATGAAGTTACCAAAGGCCGAGGGATGCGCTGGGGTCTTTCCATTTGCGATTTGCCACCATGCGGAACGATCAGCCGCACGATTGATGTGCTACATGTGCTAGTAATTAAATGTAAACCATACCGTGACATATACGCAGGCCGCAGGGACATAAATTGCGAGGAAAATCGAAGGCCGACACATCTTGAAGCTGCCTGCAGTATCGCTCAGCCTTGAAGTAGATAACTTCCACGGTTGACTAGTTAAGGACTGTAGGACAGATAATGAGTTACAAGCCCAGTACTAAGCTGTTCAGGCCTCTGCAAGGCCCAGCTCCACATGACTGTGGGTGGTGCATTCAGCGAGTTGCGAAAAGACCTGCATCTTCTCTGGACGGCGAATGAGCCCCAACTTAGCACCGAGAAAGCAAAGAAATACTTTCGACAGGAAAGTCAAGAGAAGATGATCCACGACTTTCGGCAGACATTACGCCCATTGTCTTCGGCACCCTAGCCTTGTTAGCCCGTATTATAGCCAGTACTAGTACGGGAACACTGGAGAAGCATGCGCAGGGACACCTCCCATTCGCCGTAACTGCCAGGATATGGGCTGCATGGGAAAGCAGCCATTCGCATAACGGCGGAGTCTGATGCCTAGGGTTCAGTAGAGATAGGGTTCAGTAGAGATCCCCACCAACTATGTTATCCGTTATCATCGGGACCCTAACAATAGCGCCCGCGATAATCCGCTGTGCACCTCTGCAGCAGTGAAGCCGATGCGCGTCCAGAGTGTTTAACCCATCCGTGGACACGTCGTCTGCCTCGCCGGGATTAAACTCGCATTCTGCTCGGGGCTCGGGAGGGTTGGTCGTCGATTGAAATAGGCGTCTGCCGTAACTTTGATGTGGCTACAGATTCGAAAGTCACTCTATGGGATAAATTCGGCACTATACGGCAAACATGACATGACGGAAGAGACAAGAATCCGAGAGTGTAGATACATACGGTTGAGACAATCTTAAAGGTAGTGCAGTACATGCGAACTTGCAGCACATAGCCTGCGACGACGATGCGGGGACAGCAGAATCAATGCAGTCGGCCAATTACCTGTATGGCAGGGCGACTTGGACCACGGGAGCTAAACATAGAGTGTCACGGGGCCGCGGGGCGCAAAGTAGTTACCGTATTCGGCAACTTCACGGCACAGCCTTGGGACTGCTGATACCTGATCAAGCAAGATTCTGCTGCATCCCAAGCTCCGTCCTCGCCGACCGCTGAACAATTTCCTCCCCTCTCCTCCCCGGTTCCCAGCTGCGTTTGCTTCCGACGGCGTTCTTGGTTTGGGACTGTGCCGACTAGCGGTGGCACAGTGGAATGGACAGTTCTAATGCTAATGGCTCGCAGTCGCGTCACAAGCAAGAGGATGTGGAACCCGATTCCAAGAGCAGCAAGGGCGACATCAGGCCGGTGGTCAGGACGTTGAACCGGGTCCCTCGTATGTTTTTCCTGTGTGCACATTTTCTTCCTTGTTGTCTAACGCTTGGGGCGGTCGACCTGGTAGGTGCATGCGTGAGTATTCCAATTAAGTCCAGAGGTTGGGCGGGTCGCTTGACTGACATGCGCCGTGAAGAATGCCTGTCGAAAACAGAAGATGCGTTGCGAAGGCGCAGAGAATCCGCCGTGCAAACGGTGTAGGCATGCGGGATTGGAATGTCTATTTGAGAAACCGTCACGAGAAGCCAGTCTTACCGGGGAAGCTGGCCTAGAGTGAGTGCGTCTGTGCTAACATTTTGCATTCTACTCAATCGTGCTTCTTCCAGACGTATCCGGAGTCTTGAAGCACATGTGGCAGACATCAGACAGTCGCAGGCCGCGATTCAGAATACATTGGCCGAGATCGCTGCTCATCTTCGTGGCGGACCTTTGGGCCATTCATCACCTACACCCCTCCCGCAGCAGCCATATGGGCCTCATTCCCCCGCGATGTACGCACAGACGGGGAATGTACCAACGCCAACACCTGTGGCTACTGCGCCGCAACGTTCTCTAGTGATTGACACGGTTGCGGCTATGTCAGGACCTGTGCCCGGCTCCGCAAGCAATGGTGTAATTCCTGGTGGACCTCCCCATGCTTTCGCAAGTCCGGCTGTTTCTGGAACTGGGGCACCGCGTACACCAAGCAATGTGCAGCAACCACTCTCGCAGCCTTCACAATACAACCCTGTTGGGCCAAGTTACAATACCGGTGGCACTCCTGCGCCTACTCTGCCTCCGATCTCGAGCATGCCCACAATGGGGGGTCCGTCGCAGCCCATATCCTCCATCCGGTATGGCGACGGGAGGTCACAAACAAGGCAAATTCACGGCTCGCACCTTCTTTCCAACCTTAAGCGCCCTGGGTTGCCGAGCTCGAATCTAGCCAGCGCCGATTCTACTGATGCGGAGGATGACGAGAATGGCGATCTCCCAGCGTCAGGTCTTGTGGCCCCATGGGAAGTGCTGAGGGGTTTAGCAAACGTAGCGGTTGAGCAAGCGGCTAAGGTATGTATGCTCTGCGGAGGTATTACTAGTCTGCCACAACATTTTCTAGGAGGGTAACACCAGCAGTGAGCCCGTGAGCCGGGCTAGGACCCCGGAACCCGACCCTCGACAGTCCAGGCCTGTGAAACGGAGGAAAACCTATCATAAGGTGCAGCGTACTCCAACATTCCCTGATGGTGAGTGTCTTCGCCATTAAGCGTCCATGTTGTTGCGCTTACGCTTAAGAATCAGTCGTCACAAAGCAAATCATTACTGAAGCTGAAGCCCGCGAGCTATTCAGGATGTCAGTCTATCATTTTGCATACTATGTTATGCTTTCCTTAGAGGTCTCTCGCAGATTTTACCATGGATGCTCCACCTTCCTTCCTGTCTTTGACGCCAACGTAGATACTTACGATTCATTGCACGAACGCTCTCCTTTTGCTGTGGACTGCATATGTATGGTAGCTGCACTCGTCCGTGATGGCGGAGGTATGTTTCACGTCTTCTCTGCAAATTATGATTGAGGTGCCTTCTCAGGTACACCGAGCGACATTTTCTTGAAATGTCAAGAGGAGGTGCATACAATCTCTCAGGCCACATTATTTCTGCCTGTGACCCGGCAGGAACCGGTCCGCGCCATGAGTAGGTAGTATCAGATCACCTTGTCCGCAGGCCTAACAACTGTTTAGTACTTGTATCTGGATGGTCTGAAAATGGATGGTTAAGTGGCGGACATGCAGTCCGCATGGCTATGGAATTATGTGAGTGGTCATGTCCTCTAACTCTAGGTGGAATATGGGGATCAGAGCTGACACGTTTCTCGATTCCAGCTATGCATAAGGCTTGGCCTAAACTCTTGAGGCGCATGCAATCGGGCAAACACGGAACCGGCCCCGAGGATCGCGAACTGATCATTTGCGCGCGAACTTGGTTCTGCCTATATTTATTCGAACATCAGTCAGTTTGGCCGTACTGTTGTGCTAACTAATCTGATGCTTGCCGTTACAGGATGTCATACGGAACAGGTCGACCAGCGATACTTCGGGATGACGAGAGTATCTGGCAATGCCGGCTGCTCTTGACTCATCCCCTGTCAATCGAAGATGACATGCGTCTGGTTTCAACCGTTGAATTGATGGCGATACGCGAAAGAGTACATGGCAAGCTTTCTCCGTTGGATCGAGCGATAGACGATTATACTTTCAATGTCTTACGTGAGGCCGACGCAGAATTCCAGACTTGGTATTCCAACTGGGATGCAGCCTTCTCCCAAAAGTATGAGAATGCAGGTGGGTTACCTGGTACGGTATCGAAGGCACATTCTTACGTTTTCTCTTAGCTTTCTATCGCCAGAGTCTGCAGATTCAGCATATCCATGCGGAACTGTTCCATAATTCCATTGCGCTCAGGAACATCAACGGTCCCAGGGACGTTCAGAACATGCCTCCGGCACAACGGGAACTTGCTCTTCGGACTATCCGGATAGCTTCTCGAGGATTGGACATCACAGTCAATTCACCTGCATATAGGGAGGGAATGAAATATGGTATTGAGATCCGTGCTATCCTTGCTTAAGTCCTGAGTTGTATTCCTCTTAGCCGTTCACTACACGCAAGCTACCGCCACATTTACCGCTTCCTTCCTCTTGCGTTTAGCCCGGCTATTGTAAGTGGTGGGCTCCATCTATCCAGGCTTAACTCTGAATTGTAATGCTTTGCTAGTCCGGATGATTGCGACATTCAGCATATCCGGAATCAGGTGGGGCAGCTCGCGGCGCTCATGTCAGAGAGTACGTTTGTCGCTACGCTTTTACCCTCAGAGATGCTGATCTCCTCTACTCGGTAGTCCCGGGCAAGAGATATGCCTTAACCCTAAAGCTAATGTTGAAACGCTCCAAGAAGAGACACGCAAGCTCCCAATCTCGGTCTCCGAAGATGGCCCGGGACCCGCACCATCCTTCGCAATCCATTGAACAGACCGTTGGCCATATCCCTCACGATTTGAACCAGCAGCCCTTCTCTCCGACGTACGAGACATCATTCTCTAGCCCTGAGGGATTGCATCCGCCGCATATACCTGGTCCTCCCATGCATCATTACTCTGCCGATGCTGCAAACATCGACCATATATGGCGCGGTTTCGAAATGACGTCTAATGAACAGCTACCTGTTTGGTTATCTGACCAGAATCTTGGCGGTGCATCTTTCACCCAGAATGGAATGGATGCCTTCCTCCTACCAACCGACTTCCTCCCACCTGCCCCGCAAGTCTGGTGATGTAAATTGATTCTTATACCCTCCACTCTCGCGGCTTTCTCCCATGCATTATCTAGTGTCTTGTATCTCACCTCCCAGTTGACTCGCAGCGCCCGTGTATCTTTCTGGTATGACGGCAATGTCTTTCCTATAGCATGTTGTATCAAATGGATGACAGTGTATGATTTTTGGTTCACATGTATCATGGGGCCTTAGGCCAGAGACAAGCCTCCTCAATATCCAGTATATAGGCGAGCAATCCTGTCTACAGGGACGCCTTGGTTTAGCATGATTTCGAACCAGACTGCGGCTGACCGCCTCGCCAGCAACATGAATATCAACATGTTAGACGAGCAGTCATTATTCCAGTCGTGGCACTCTTTGCTGCGTCCAAACTCGTCATCTTAGTATATCCGCAGACCGTTAAGCTGGAGGCTACGGGTGAAGGCGAATTGCTGGAGATGTCTCGGAATCTCTCCGACTGGTCTGGCTCTGAACGACCGGAGTCTCGCGAACAACTTCGCCCACAGCGACAATCCCATGGATTGCCAAGAGATGCTACTGGCCTCCAAGATGATGCTCAAAGGTCGGTGGCTCGATACAGGGATTCCTACGAAGATTTTGCGAATGCTTGTTCTGTGGGCTATCTTGCTCAAGACAACGACGGGTTCCAAGGGCCAAGGACTGAAACTGCGCCTAACCATGACTTGGAGGATGCAAAGGCCAGACGCAAAGGTGGTTATCGCAACGCTGCGCGGAATGCTGGCCTGAATCCTGGAAAGCCAAGTCCTGAGCAGAATATCCGAAGGACCGCAAGCTCGGCTGAGGAAGGGAGACCAATCCCTAAGCGCAGAGCGAGTGTCTTCTCGAGCCTGGTCCAGTGGGGCTTTGATCAAGGCCATGCTCGCACAACAGAACGCTCAGAGAACAATGGCGATATCAGGAAATCAAGCCTGTTCTCTTTCATCGCCGCGACCAGACGCCCAAGTCTCTTTTCCAAGGAACGTCGTCATTCAGACATAACCTCTCACATAGATGGTCTGTAGCACTTCGTACATCCGAACACAGATGCTGATCTGTTGCTCTAGATGTGGGCAAGAGACGAAAATTCATCCTGAAGTTGGCTACGGCGCTCATGACTTATGGAGCACCGTCGCACCGTATAGAATCTCAGCTGCATGCTGCATCGAGAATTCTAGAGGTCGGCTCTGAGTTTGTGCACCTGCCCAACCTCACTATCGTTTCCTTCAACGATGGCGGTACGCGTGCCTTTGAGACGCACTTTGTCCGTGCCCCCGGCCGAATCGCTCTTACCGCTCTGCACAAGGTCCACCTGGTGTATCGTAAAGTCCTCCATGACAAGAGTGGTGCCGAGGCTGGTACTTCTGCTCTGAGGAAGATTCTTCGTGCGCCCCCTAGGTATAATCTGTTCTTTCGATGTGCGCTATCGTTCGTTAGCGCCACAATCCTCTGTTCTCTGGCTTTCGGTGGCTCTTTCGTCGATATGCTTGTCGGCGGCGCTGCCTCCTCTATCCTGCAGTTCTTAGGCCTCAATGCCGCGGCTAAGAGTGCGACTTACGCCAACGTCTATGAGTAGGTCAATCTCCACCTTCTTCAGGGGGACTCCAATTCACGACTGCAACAGAATTTCTATATCCATTCTGATGGCATTCATAGCCAGGGGCTTGAGTACTATATCCAATAATGTGTTTTGCTTTGCCCCCATAGCTTCCACAGGCGTCGCTTCCGTGCTTCCTGGATTTACAATTCGTGAGTTCGTCGACGTAGATCTATGCCATGGACATAACACCTAACGCTCGTCGACCAGTCATAAGCGCTTTAGAACTGACGTCCAATAACATCCTATGTGGTTCCGTCAGGATGGTTTATGCAGTGATATATACGTTATTCCTGGTATGTTATCCATTTGTCACCCGAGTCTGTCTGACACCGCGCAGGGTTTCGGACTGACTATAGGGTCCGAGCTCTATCTCATATTCAACCCACACGCGCGACACATTGTCGATTATACCGGTGCCACCGAAGTTATACACGGGCATTTTATGTCCAGGAACGGGTCAAGCGCTTATGTACCCCTCGGTGGCACGTTCTCTTTCACCCGTGCAGAACCAATCGGACAAGGCCATATCATCAAGCGTATGTCTGGCCGTTAGCAATCGCTATGATATATTAATCTCGTGCGCGCAGAATGCTATCGTGATCCATCCTGGCCTTGGTGGAAGCAGCCCTTACCATGGTGGACTATCTTCATCTTTGTTCCGGTATATTCGGTGTGCTCCTCACTAGGCAACCTGCAATCGTGGCGAAGCAAGCAGCTCCTGGTTATGGTAATGTTTTCGTCTGCCGCCTATGCTGCAAACAAAGCGACCGGATTGTATATCTCTGACCGTGGCGATGTCATCTCAGCAGTTGGTGCTTTTGTGATTGGAGTGCTAGGCAATGTGTACTCTCGCGTAATCCGTGGGACTGCATTCACATCTATGGTGACTGGTGTGCTTTTCATAGTACCGGTGAGTAATGACATTTGATACGTGTACTCCACATCTAATAGAAGATCAGTCTGCCCTAGGTCAAGGCGGGGGTATTATTCAGAACTACCGCACGGCCGCGGAACAGTACTCCAGCGGTTTCAGTCTCGGGATACGCATGATCCAAGTTGCGGTTGGTATCACCATAGGTTTATATGCAAGCCAACTCGCAGTCTATTCTTTCGGGACCAGGAAGAACGCGGCGTATTTCGCTTTCTAGTACTTTGGAGATCCGTATTTGTCGTACCCTACAATAATAATGACTGAGGTCCTGTTGATTTGAAGTGATTATACGCCAATAGAATAGAAGAAATGGAATATGGAATGTATAAACTAAGTCTTGAAGAGCTGGTTTAATTCTTCCATGCGGCGTTGCAGCATTTCGGCCTTGCTGAAATTCTGCCCGAGCGTCATGTTAGCTAGCTCTGTCTTCTTCCTTTGTACCTCCAGCAATCGAGCCTCGATTGTGTTCTCGATGATGAGTCTAACGGTTGTCACAGGGCGTGTTTGACCCAATCGGTGCTACAGCCAACAGTCAGCCTCTGAGCAATATGCGAGCCGGAATCAGTACTAACGATGCGATCGACAGCTTGGTTCTCCACTGCCGGATTCCTTGAGAGAAGATTATGAAGCAGGTCAGATGGGAAATCCCGAACCAGATCACTACCTACCAGTATGGATCCATCAAATACACTCGCTGAGCCGCCGTCAGGTTCAAACCGACACCTGCAGAAGACGGCTTTAGATGGAACGTGCATGATAAGAACCCAGGCTTACCTCCAGCTTTCAAACTGACTAGTAATACCTCGCAACCTGGATCGTGTTTGAGGACCTCCATAGCACGAGTCCTATCATCGCGTTTCATGGTTCCGTCCAGGCGTTCGTAACGGATTCCCGCAGCTTCGAGGGCATCTTCAACCCTGGGTGAACGTCAATATTGGATAAGAAGAGATAAGCAGCGTGTCACGCACTTATCCAGCATAGACGTCCATTGCGAACTATAGGGCAGAGAAGTCAGGAGCTTTCCTCGGAGAAGAGAAGGCTTTTACACGCACAAGACAATTGTCTTAACGACTCCGTCTTCGAGCTGGTTTCCCTGGTCGTCCACCATCTGTATTTCCACGGAGGCTGGGTCATAGTTGGCAGAATGAGGATTGGCCTTCGAAAATTGGATGAGATCACCGAGCAGGGCTTTCACTTTGGTTGAAGGGCGGAAATTGTCCAGTAAAGCGTCCTTGGGCCTCTTCTGCCTCTTCATTGGCTTCTTCTTATACACGAGTTCCGGAGGAGTACAGTATGGGCTGACCTCTACGGCATCCCTGGGAGATAACGCGGCTTGGCAAGTCGAACACGAACGAAGGACATCGGGTGGTACATTGGGCCACCCAGGGCAAACAGCACTTTGATAACACTCAAAGCAGAACAGATGCTGACAGCGAGTGACAATGGGACGGGGTCCCGAAGGACTACTAGGGCGAGTAGGTCCACGAGAACATGGCTTGGGTTTCCTGCCTCGCTTGGGGACCGGCGCTACATCAGCATCCAAGCCTTCACTCTGCGCAGACTCTGTGGCCACACTCAACTCTCCTCCACATTCCACGCATTGAGTTGTGCCCGACTCGCGGAGCAGGGTGAAGACGGCGGCCGCCCTGTTCGCGTCGATGCCTTCTCGGCATATAGCAGCAATCGCATCATCATATCCAGATGTCGAGCCTTGCTGAGGGTCGTTACTGCCGAGCTGCACCAGTTCGTAGTGATCGCATATTTGGCGAAGCCGCAGGATCTTCTGCAGGATCCCTACGTAATTCTTCATGACCTCGTTCTTGTTTGAAAGCTCATTGAACTCTGCTTTGGATTCACTGAAGAACTGATCGTAGATAGCTTGTTCTTGCTCGTCGAATTTCAAGAAACGTAGCTCATCGCGGCGCGGGGGAAGCGAAAGGATTCTCTTTCCATCCTGTGTCTTCGATTCCTTGGTCCGGCGTAGGGTGATGCACTTCATAATTGTCTGTAGTCGTGCTACGCCGAGCGGTTGTCCGAACTTCACAGGCGTACCAATATATTCCGTCCACACTAGCTTATCGTGGAACGGAGCGAGCCGAAGGAACTTGATGAGGGCATAGACATCGTCAAGCTTATTCTGCACAGGAGTACCCGTGAGGCAAAGTCGCCTATCGGCCATGAGGTCGCAAGAAGCTCGGCATCCGACGGTAGACGTCTCTTTGATAGTACTTCGATGGATAGTTCAGCCACGAAAAAATCCAGACGAGTAATCCAGACGAAGAACTCACTGTGCCTCGTCCAGGACAACTCTAAACCAGTATACACTCTGTAAAGGACTGGTGGCCTCGACACCATTGCCGCAGGGTTTCTTCCGCTTCATACCATTCTTCTTCGGTTTCGACAGCTTCATGATAGTGTTACCCATCTCATCCACTTCAGCCAGTCCGTCGCTACTTTCGTCATCTTCGTCCTCATCAACAGTGGCAATACTCCGAGTCTGCTTAGAGAACTCTGATGCCAACGTCGTATACGTAGTTATTACAGCATCGAAATCCGCAAGAAAAGTTGGGTCGGGTCGCCGTGCATTCCCATGGTAGACATAGACGCGAATTGACTTTCCTTCACGGACACGACCAAGTTTCTGGGATACCGACGGAGGATCACTCCCAGTAGATGACAGGGACTGCGATTGCAGAGCAGCAGTCACAGAGCAAACAGTTCCTGCGCCTCCGACAACATTCACGTCACCCTTCCAGTGCTCCCGGAATTGTTCTTCCCAGTTGGCAACAGTCGACAGGGGACAAATTATCAGCGTGGCCCGGGATCTCACTTTGATGCGACAGGCTCTGACGTATTCGGCTTCGGCTTTGTCCTGGTCCTTCGTGGCGCGACCTTTGCCTTTGGATGAAGAGGAGCAGGCTTCAGGATTGGTTTCAGGCATACCCCAGACTGAGCCGGCAAAATGGGAGGCTGTCAAATTTGACGAGCTGCCGCGTTCTACAGGTGGCGGCTTCGGCGGAACAAGAGGAGAGGATGCGAACGCATGAGCCGATCGCAGTGTCGAGGCAATCAGGGAAACGCAAGTAATTGTCTTGCCTAAGCCCATCTGTATGTATAAAGGATAAGACATCTGGGAGCTTTATGGTACAAGAGAATAGAACGTACGTCGTCTGCGAGTATGGCACCTTTACTTTCCACGGGCTTTTCAAATACCTCTTTCTGGGTGACGATATGGAACCACGACGTCTGTCCAGATATTGGGTTCATTCTCTCTTGCCAAAGGGATGAGGATTTGCCATCTGGACAAAGTCGCTCTTGCTCTCGCTCAAGCAGGAAGGTAAGTGCCTTCTTCTGATGCGGATAGAGTTTCGTAGCAATCTCAGCAGCTGTATTTGCCGTTATAGCAACGGAGGAATGCATTAATAAGGCCGGAGTCATCAAGGAGATACCGCACAAGAGACCACGCACGGGGATCAGTCTCTGCAAGTTCATCGCCGCTCTTTAAGCTTTTGAAAAGCTCATCTATCTGGCTACGCTGAACCTCCACACTTTTACCCGACACAGCAGGCGTGGTCCATCGACCCATGTTGTTACCGCCCGGACCAGCATATCCTATGCGCTGATTCGTGAAAATATTACGGAAGCCGCCAGGAGGGGGATTGTGGGGGTTATAATATGGGAAGCTTCCCAGACTTTGCCTGTCGAAAGGAAATGTTGGATGGTCCAGCAGAAGACCGTTACGGTGGAAATAGTTGCCGACTACAGGAATGTTCCCTTTCGGGGTAGATACTAGCATTTGAAGCGGAAGAATGGGAACCTAAGCCTCGTTAACAGGGCGAAGTATGGGTGCAATACTGGTACATACATTCGGCATCCCCCTGCGCACCTTCGCATCCAGCTTTATCAACCCTTTTCCCAGCATAGGTCCCAAGGCTGAGGCAACCTTCTGTTCAACAACCCCAAAATTTTCGCTGGCAATCTCTCCCATAGGCGTGCGCATTGCAGGCGTCTTGATGTGTATCGTTTCCTGACCGCCTGCTTTGTTGGGCGTGTACTCATACTGTAGCCGGACTGGGATCCAATCCGCTTCTTGACTGATTCCGTCCGTATTCGAAGGACGTAGATAGGGTATTGGGTAAAGAACCAGTGCCGTGACAGTTATCTGACCGATGCAAACGGGGGTCTTTGGAGGAAGACTCTCCGGCAGACCTCCCATATTGGGCTGGAAGGACGGAGGCGCCTGTGGAGGAGGGGAGGGAGAAGACGTCAAATCTATTACCTGGCGAGCAGAAGAGCCAATGCCAGGTGTGGCGGAGGGAGGACTCCGCGTCGAAGAGCTTGATGACTGTGATCCAGAGGTTCCTGGAATAGGCGAAGGCACGCTTATAGGAGGTAAGGGGACAGGTCCGGCAAACGCGGGACGATAAATCCCTCGCGAAGGTGACAGAGCTAGGGTATTACTGGGAATGGAATGCAGGCCTGGTTTCGACGCTGTCTGAGAATGGTTGTAGGAGAGCTGAGGGGTCGCATAATTCTTCGGAGCAAATTGCTCGCTCCCTTGACTGAGTGAACTCGGATGTTTATGTTCACAGCGCATGCGCTTCGTCTGTCTTGTGTCATTAGGTGTATCACCGTCATCGTCAAGTGTTAAGTCAATGGGGTTGGACTGGGCGTAAGGAGAAATAGCCAAGCTAGCAGGCGAAACGGTTGTAGCTGGAGAGGCCATGTCCTGAGACCCTGCAGGATGCAGACACAAAGACCGACGAGTGCAAGGCTCAGCGAAGGGGGCAGTGAGTAGAGCTCATCCACCAACTGTTTGTTGTATAGCCAATGCAGTATTTCGGGCATAACTTAGCCCACGGCTGGCCGATGCAGCGGCATTGCCATTATAGAGTGCACGTGACAGCCCAAATATGGATGTATCTTAGTAATGGCGCGATCCGACCATTCCTGCTGACTCAGCTCTTCAGCTCTCCTCTCTTAGTCACCGACGCATTTGACACGCTCCTATCGAGGAAAGATTGCCAGATCCCAGAAATGACCGTCCAACCCCCATTCAAACACGATGTACCAGACACAGACACCGCTGCTCCCCGAATGCACAAGTCATGCTCACAAGACTTCCTCCCGTCTCGCGAACATAGTCTACACACGATATTCCTCTTGATGTAGCCATGACCGAAAAGAAAACTATGCGCCAGAACGATACAGTTAATGGCCAAAATTCAACCGTGACCCACGGGTTCTGCTGTGCTTGAGCGCGGCCATAGGGCCTTATATAATTACATGCTATCAAATAATCTACAAGTAGAATGATAATAGGTATGACGAATAAACTCTAATAAGCAATGACTAATTACAATTACCCTGTGGCGAAGCAAGGGACACCCGGGACTGTAATTATAATTAATCAACGAGCATAGGTTCCACAGTCCCCAATGATACTGCGTTGGCCAATTCGCGTTTCTTCTGTTTGCTTAGGATCTTCCGGAGTATACTGACAGTCTGAGACTGACTAGGGTCATTATCAAGTCGCTGGATTTCGCGAGAGACACTATCGACAAGCCGGTCAGCAAAGCGTGCGGAGTGGGCAAACACCAGGACCTCACCTCTTAGGCCCTTCTGCTACCACAGGGCAGTCTTTCACGAGATGGTGAGGTAGTCTTCCGCATATAACACAGGGCGTATCACCGGGCGTGTGTTTCGCCTTCTTCAAGTTGCTGCCCTGCAAGGGCGATGAAGGTCTCTTGGAAGGCCCAGCGACCACGCCCGCGGCCTTCACGGACGAAGGGCCAGCTGTTGCTGACAATTCGGCGGACACAGCAGAGGGCTTATCAGTTCTGGGTTTCTCGCGATGGATGTTCTCCGAGCGGGCGGGTGGATCCACCAGCAGCAGCGGCTGTCCATGAATGAGACCAATTTTACCGCGTTTGTGCAGTGTCTCGTCGATAACCTGGATGGCGGCCTTCTAAAGGGGTAGTCAGCAACCGTTATTACCGAACAATCGCTGGGGGGCTTACGCGATCCTCTATAGGTTCGTCATCAGCATGAATGAGGAGCATCCGGCGATATTCGGCCAAGTTCTCTGAGCTCTCGGTCATGTAGCAGACCCCAGGACCATGAACTGTTCCACACAGCCCGCATCGCTCGAAATCTTCTTTCTTGTGCCGTCGTTGATTCTGGATGGGCGAGAGAGGCACAGGCAGGTCCAACGAGCTGACGTGTTTCGCCTTTTTCGGTTCCTCCAAAGGCGATAGTGCCCTTCCATCGATTTCATCATCAGGTACCTCCGCCTCTGATTCAGAGCGGCCCACTGAGCCCGTATATGCGTCGGATTCATCGTCGGAGGCCTTGGATTTCGACTTGCGGCGGCGGTTCTTATCCTTCTCATCCTTCACAGGCGAATCATCGAGGTCGAGATCTTTCAGCTGTTGCTGTAAAGCAGGTCAGAACACCGAACAAGCAGCATCGCGAAGCCGCTGCAATAGTACCTGTGGAATGAGAGCCGTTCTGCGTCGAGCTCCGCGACCGGTCACCTCGTGCGCTTGTTCCCTTTCCCGCTCTTGTACGATACGCTGCAATGTCTGCGCCCAGGAGTCACCTTCCTCTGCAGCTCCTGCGTCGGGCATCTCCTCGAAGGAGTCTTTGTCAGCGGACCACACCTTGGCGAAGGCGAAAAGGCCAGCGTCTTTCTGCTTCTCCTGGTCGACATGCTCGCCTTCTGTCTCCGTCTTCTCGATCAACTTCTCTAAGTCTTGATCGGTATCTGCGGCACAGGTCAACATTACTCGTATGTAAAATTCGGTCGGATCTCCGCACTCACAATTGATATCCCGGGATGAGTCGTCGGTGCCCTCCTCAAAGAGGGCTTTCGCTCCGAACAGCAGTATAGACTGGACGTCCTCCTTACCGGTTTCGTCGTCGTCCATCTTTTGCACGATTAGGTGATCCAGGACAAGCTTCTTCTTGCCAGTCTGCATGATGCGCTCTGCGGGCTACGTTCGACGTGCACTCTTTAGATGTACATCGTGCATACACACACCTTCGGCAGAATCCTTGACCAATAATTTGAACACCAGACAAGGTTTCGTCTGCCCATACCTGTGAGAGCGGGCAATCGCCTGCCAGCCTGTCAGGTATTCAGCGTTTTAAAGAGAATCCTGGCCTACGTACTTGTAAATCCTTTATGCCAGTGAGTTAGCTAGTAAGAGAAGTAGACTATGTTCTCACCTGATGTGGATTGAAATCCGGGTCGAAGATAATGACAGTGTCAGCGCTCCATAGATTGATTCCAACCCCTCCAGCACGAGTAGACAAGATGTATATGAACACATCGGATCCCGGTCGGTTGAATTCATCCATCCCTTTCTGCCGATCCGCTTGCTTCGTGTTTCCATCCTATATTTGTAAGTTTTCAATTCATAATCGAGCGCCCAAGGATTTGCGTTTACCAGTCGTAGATACTTGTAACCTTCCCCTGCAAGGAAGTCTTCGATCACATCAAGTGCAATGGTGAACTGGCCGCATTATTTCAATACCTGAAAGAGTGAAAGAATGGATTGCCAATGCTGACCTGACTGAACAGTAAGACTCGATGACCTCGGGCCTTCAACTTAGGCAGCATGTTCTTGAGCAAACGCAATTTGGCGCTAGCACCAACAAGCTTCTCATGCATCTCCGCTGGAGGTAGACCCCGCGGCTCGATGTTATCGCTGACAAGATACGGATGCTGGAGACATCTGCAAACCATTGAGTATGCAGGAGCTTCTGTAAGCTAAAAGGGCGTACTTCCGCAGTTGCATCAACATGTTATTCATGTTTGATTTGGTCGCAGTGCCATCACTCTTGGATGCTTGGGTTAAGCTTTGTAGAACTTTGAAGTTCTGGCCTGCACTGCGTTCAGAGAAAAGGACAATAGGACAGCATGCAACCGAAGACAAGACAGACTTAGAATAGAGCGATAGATTTCCTTTTGAAGAGGCGTCATGGACACTGGCACGATGACCTCGTTCTGGAGAGAAAATATAAGCAACCGGAAGATGTCCAAACAGTACCAATTACCTTGGGAGGCAAGGGGAGCACCTCTGATTTGGTGCGGCGCAGGAAATATGGCCTCAACCTCTGGTGCAGCTCTCGGACAAGCTCCTCGGTAAGCACCTCATGCTCTTTCTCTAATTTCTCCAGGTCCTGCCATTCCACGGGATCTAAGAAGTTCATGAGATTGAACAGTTCTCGCATATTATTGTTGAGAGGGGTCTAGGTGGGTTGTGGATGAGTGTGTCATATGCAAGCAGTGTGAACGTACTCCAGTCATTAAGACGCGATGAACCGTGTTGAGTTGCTTCAGTTTTTTAAACAGTAAGCTCCCATCGCCTTTCACTGTTAAATCCAAGGGTCAGCAAGCATTGTGAGCTGATCAGAGCAACCGCTCACATCGCTGTCCTTCATCAACGACAAGGACTTCCCACCTGGGCGTGCTTTTGAATACACTCGCGAAATCTTTGGGATTGGTAACCGTATCGTAGGTCGTTATCAGCACATGATATTTCGCGCCAGTGGTCTTGGCCGACTTCAAACTGTGAGTCAATTCATAGTGCTTGATAACCTCGCGCGCTTTAGCCTCCCCATAGAACGGAACGACCCGTAGTCTCGGTGCCCATCGCTCGAACTCGCGGACCCAATTCGTGATGGTCGAGTTTGGCACTACTATTAGAGCAGGAAAGGCTTCCCATCTTTCCGCTACTGTACCAATGAACGCCGCAATTTGCACGGTTTTTCCCTTGCAGATATTAACACAGTGATACATGCCAGCCATATCGACGTGACTTACCAAACCCATTTCGTCCGCAAGGATGCAATGCTGCAGGTTCCACCAGTTATTGCACAGCCAATTGACACCATCAACCTGACTTTCTTTCAGCACCCGCCCATGACTTCCAACAGTAACTTACTTGGAAGGGCATTAATTTCAGATCGCTGCTTTGCCCCAAAGAAGGTTGAGCACCATCCTTGAACGCGAATTGTCTTCTAAATTGATCCTTGGCCCTGGGGGCCGCAGCTTTTGTGGTCATGTGGACGACCACATCTCGAGAGGCAATCAGGCGCTCGAATGCTTTTCTGAACGCTTCCCAGCCGGATTCCCCTCTGCGAGGAGGCGAATCCCATGTAGCTACGGCATACAGACGGGTCAAGATGGTGGAAGGTCGGGGCACATGCGCAACACTCACCTTCCTCGTATCCCATATCATCCCACTTAATGAAGGCCCACACAACTCGATCAATGAGCTTATCCACATCTTCGACCGTGAGCGTGTGCCCAGTCCTTTCTTCCCATTCATCCAAGGTCTCGGTGAGATCCGCGCTAGGTTGTTCCCCCTGGTCAAATGCAGCATCTCGCTCGTCTGTATATCGCGCCTCGTCGTATTCTTCGTCCAACAGCTCATCATCAGTATCTTCCGATGTTCGCTTCCTTGCCTTCCGCCTTGTAGACTGCTTTTTCCGACCTCCTTGCTTCTTCGTACCGTCTCTCTTGCTAGGGCACCAGAATAAGGCATCCAATACACGGTCTACTGTTTTCCATGACGAAGGTATCCGCCTTTCAGCGTCTGATAAGGGGGGAGGGGGGAGCCCCGGAATAAAGGTAATCCTATTTGATGGAACTTCGTCATTCGTAACAGCAGTGGGAGGTGACGACTCCAATGCATTATTCTCTACTTCTTCCTCGCTATTTTGAGCGGTCTTCGTGGTTGGCCCATTGGCTTCCGGTAACGGTTCTGACAACAACGGAACCTTGGGTCCAGTCTCGATGAAGTTCTTCAACTTCTGCCCATGCATCGTGGCGAGCCACATGTGCGGTACCCACGTTAATCGCCTGTAGCTCCGGTCAGCCCACTTCACAAGATATTCGCGTGGTAAGTTGCTCCTGTAGTTCGGCACATCCCTGGTAGGTCCGGAAGGTATCGCTGCTGTTGGCGGATACGGCCGCCACGCGAGAATCTTGTCCAAGGAGAACGTGTACGATACACAGTCGGCACAAAGCCATTTGGTGCCAGCTTGATAATACTCCGCCAGTTCGACGGCTGTGGGATGTCCCTCCGTGTCATCGAAACCGCTGGGCGTCCGCAAGTGTGCATAATGTGCGACACGTTTACACGTGAAACAGCGAAAAAGGAGCTCTCGAGGACTGGCTTTGGCACCTTCCTCCGCAGAATCTGATATGAGATCTTTCATCTCGACGTCGGCGCTCTCGCCCGTGTTGAGAAGGGGCGTGGTCGGACTCCGGCCGGGATAGGCTCGAACCGAGTCAGACGATCCGTCTAGGATGTCTTCCATGCAGCCCATACAGACGCCTCCTTTGGTGCAAGAGCCACAGAGAAACTCTGTTGTCTCGAGAACGTCCAAGCCGGCGTGCTTCTTGGGCTTAGCTGCCGTCGCACTCTGGGATACAGGACCGTCTCCGGCTTCTTGCCTGCCATCTTCCGAGGGTTGAGCTCGATCTTTTTCTCGCATAGCCTTCAATATCTCATCCTGCTGGGTCCGCGCGAGGCATCCCCAATGAGCGGCGACAGGGCATTTCAGACTATATGCAGAGGCGTATGTAGTCATGACTATTATTATTGCAAATAATTATAAGGGCGCACCATCTAACCCATCCCCCTAACGCCGTCACTCTGGCAATATCATCATCGTCTTCTTCCTCATCAGAGTTCTTGTTCTTCCTAAGCCGTCCTCGTTTCCCTTTCTTCGCCTCTATAAGCAGGATGTGGGTAGGTTTGCGATGACATTTCTCGCAGATATTCCGGTGCTGTCGAAGCGGCGCAGTCTCGTCGTCAGAGTATGGGTCGTACTCCAGCTCATCCACGGAGCGAAGATGTCCATAAGCGGGACGTGTAGCTTTTCTACGCCTTTGCTTGGCCTTCTTCTTGGCGGGTCTCTGCCGGGTCGATTCATCATCACTGTCTGCAAGCAAGTCCAACTCATCGTCGAGGTACGCCTCATCGGCCAGGTTACCCCGCGCACTCTTTCGCGCCCTGGTTGACCTACGAGCGGGTGCGACTTCGCCAGCGTCGCTGCCGTCTTCCTCCGCATCGGAGCCATCAGAGGCAATGAACGCTTTACCAGATCGAGTCTTTTTGGGACTGAAGGGTAAGACTCTGATTGTTTTCTTCCTACCCCCGGCCACGACGTTCGTCGTCCGCCTACCCGATACATCTGCCTCTGAAAGTGCGAATTCGTTATCACTGATCCCTTCGGACTCGTCCACGGCGTCTGGGACAGCATCTTTGTCTGAATCAGGGACGTATATCCGGTTTCGCTGCGTGCCCTTTCGTCGTTTCTCCATCTGCCGGTTGATGCTAATGGTCAAGAGGACCCGGGACTTCGGGTGAATTAAGGCGGAAGACGGGTCGAAAGGAGCCAAGTTTCCTTCCGCTTTCCTGCGGTCTGCAGAGACCTGTTCAGGCGGAAGTCTCGAGCAAAAACCATTGTAACACACCGTAGTCTTGTATCAAGTGTTCATAGTCATGCCAGAATCTTGCAGCAGAATACTGATACGAGTCAGGTGGGACGTCAAAGAACAGAGGCGAGACCCACTCTACGAATTGTGCCATTTTCCAGTCTGGCAAAGAAATAAGACTGTCCGTATTGCTCGTAGTCACCTATGACTTCTTCCGGCTCTCCCGCAGGCCCTTCCTCAGAGACGTCGAAGTCCCAGTCATCAAAGTGCTTGTATGCCTTCTTTTTCTCAGAGAGAGGCGGAAGCATAACATAGACCTTTGGTTCGGGCTGAGCTTGATTCACATTGGCACTTGCAGCATCCGGAGCATTGAGTCGATCCGCTGCTGATACTTCTGGTGCCGCTGCCTGACGCTCAGAGACGATATCTGCTTCGGACCGCGACTCGTCGAGGGGATCAGTCCCAGGCATGTCGGACATGCTGGATGGGACGGAGCGTGATCAGTAAACGCGCGCAAGTGGCGTATGATAGACGCGACCTTGGGCCGATACTTCAGATCTTCGTATTCCCACAGTCATGTGGGTCGTGTCATTTCCAAATGCGGCAAGAAGGGCCTGTCCATGGACATGGTGTTGAGTAATGAGTTTGCACAGAACCGAAAGGCTGTTGTTGTCACTTTGCCGGAGTGGTTAACGGGATCGCCTGCTATTGTAGCAAAGTAGCGGTTGGGCTTTGCCCGCGTGTGTTCGAATCGCACAGGTGACGGTTTTTGCTAACGAGTCTGCTGACTTGAACTTCTAAACCGCACATAAGTACAGATATTTGGCTTAGTTTACGTGAGGTACTGTAAATCCACGTAAATCGACCCTACCGTGACCCGGGGTCAACGGTGGCTGATGGCCCAAGGTAGCGGGTAGAGCGCAAAAACTCTAAGTCCCACTGCACTAAAAGGTCCCGAGTAGTGCCAGATTCATGGTGAATACAAGCGGTATACTGTACATATTTACCGTTGCCGAGCAGGACCAGGTCGACTTTAGGAAATCGAGCACAGCAATGCGGGCTTGCACTCGGGGTCCTGACACCGCGTGATGGAAAGGAGTGACATCCACCTCTAACTATCGAGTTCCTCCTGTGCTAATGCTTGTTGACTTCTATGTGCTCTCTCGGTACACTTCTTTTAGGTCTGAGAGTATGGAAAGAGCCTATACACATAGTCTGGTACAGTATATGTGTAATTAGCACCCTTCTCCTTTGTATGAATTGTGCAATACTATATATTACCAAGGTCTGCCTATGGTACAAGTGACAACTCTGCTTTGTTGTTTAAGATCTAGACAAACCATGTAGTCTGGTTCATAGCTTGTATACACTCATCATGGAATTGTAAGAGTGGTGGCATGTCAGGATTGAGGTGGCTCTCTAACAACCATCCCGACTTGGAAGGTACATCGGCGAAGTATCCTGTGCCTCAAAGACTCCAACAAGAATTCCGGTGGGGGAAAGTGCTATTCGAAGCAATGTGTTGCACTTTATAGTAGGTTTGATAGCTAAGAACAGTGGACTATATGTTGGTATCAGAAGCCGGCCGGTGAATTAAGTACATGTCCTAGGCTACTACTAAATCTGAGTGTGACCAGTCTCATCTCCTGGCAACTTGTATCATCAATGTAGAGATTGAAGCTTCAATATGGCTTGAATGAACAATGCTTCCCGCTTGGGCCTCGAAGTTGACTTCAGTACCACCCAAGTATGATGGCGGTAGTCACACTATATATGGTAGACGTCTAGCTACTGGAAATGTGACTGCATGTCACAGAACCACGCCACAGAGACCCCAACACCACAATCCGAACTCGCGACGCTCAAAGTCGACCTGGTCCTGCTCGGCAACGGTACATATTATTCTTACTAGATACAAAGGCTCTAAATACGATAAATAATGCTATTTGAGGAGGAGCACATAGGTCCTCGACGCGTCAGACGCGTTCTAATTACACGCCACGCGTCCTGGGGTCCGGAAATGAGTATCCCGACAAGGGCGCCAAAGCTCTCGGGGTTTGATGGGGAGAAGCGCTCGGGAACGCCGCGCGAAGCGGCGGCGGCTTGATGTGATTGTACGGAGGGCGTGACGTGCCCGTAAATCCATGCATCACGTGGCCGTAAATCATGTAAATCGGCGTAAATCCACCGAAATAAATGCTTTACGCTGTTTATGCCGCGCTTTCGAGCACTTATGCGGTAAATATGAGTGCTTTTCCGCTTGCAGCAGGCCTCCCCGGCTCTTGGGGGCTAAACGGACTACATAGAGCGACTTTTTGAGTACATTATCCATAGTTACACGCATTTTGGTAATATACATCAACTTCTATCTACTGCAGGAGAGCAAAAACACCCCCGGGGAGGTGCAGCCGCCGGGGAACGAGCGGGACAGGCGACGCGTCGACGCGTCGCGCGAGGCGTGGGAATACCCGGGAACCGCCGAGCCCCACCTGCCTAATAAGGCATGAAAAGCGTAAAGCCAGCGGAATAAGTGAAAGATGCAGATATCGTCAATATCAGTGGTGTAGTCTCTTACAGGTAGCGGTTCGTCATCAGCGACTAGTCCTTGCATTCCCGAGTCCTGGAGCGATTTGATTTGTCTCTAGAATCACCACGGATAGAAATCGCTGCTTCTTAAGATCCTTTCATCGGTGAGTTTTTCGTGC